TGTATACCACTTGTGGAACGCTGCTCCTTGACTAACCGCTCAACGTACCAAGCCTTGATGTCAGCGTCGTTGAGTGTCTTGATGTTGTGATACCAAGTCACCCATTGAGTCGCTACGTGACGGGTGCCAAGAACCAGTAAACTGACAAATATGTACAAGACCCCAGGATAAACGTAGATGTCGTAGTGAGGAATAAAGATAGTCAACAACGGAGAGACTGTCAGGGTCGGGATTACCATGATGATGACTTTGCGACCATTTAAGAAGCTGGATCCCGGAACCTGATAAGTGGAGAGAACAGCAAGTACTGTTAAGTACGTCGTAAGTCCAAAAAGGTAAAAGACAAACACCGCCCCAAGCCCTGGGCCTACGGCAGCTGAGATGACAATGAAGCCGAGAAGACAACCAGCAAGAGTGAATGCGAGACCACCGACTAACCGAGTCAGCACGAACATGTTGGCGGCTGAGAATGCCATGGAGATGAGGTAGTAGGTGCCTCCAATGGAGATCCAGGTTCCAATGGCGCCAGAGAGAAGCAATGAACACATGAGCGCCAGCGTAGCATAATATCGCTGCTCCTCTTCCATACGTACACTGAGATACAGCCCATGACCAGTAGTTGATAATAGAACGATGTCTGTGGCTGTTAGCAAAAGATCCAAGCGGCCACAGCATCAAATGCTCACCAACGAGTGCCGGGATTGCGAAGACACTAAGGAAAGTGAATCGCCGGTAAGCCGGCATTACGGAAGGCTTCTGTTCCGGGTCGATGTCAGTTTGAGCTGCAGCGTAGGCGGAAGCGAACGATGGCGCATTGAAAAGCCACATAGGAGGCTGATGTTCTTCCTGGTTGTAGTACTTTCTGTGCTTCTGCGATAGCATTATACCGATGTCGCTGGGTTTGATGTCAAAGTATGCTTCGCATCTTGATCCTAACGCAAACAGCTCTGCAAACGCTGCACTCTGATCTGAGTATTGATTGAAGAGTGGGTTTCTGTCCGATACCTCAATGTATAGTTCTTCGAATCCAGCTTTCCTCGCAGCGCAAAAAATGCAGAAAAGTACGAAGTCAGCGGCTGAATCAAGATCTCCACGGCTGGTAATATTGACTATGGCAGAAGTGATGATGTCTAACTTCTCATAGTCTCGCGACCACAGTATGCTGTCAAGTACGTCTGTGACTTCCCTGAAGAGATGCAGCGCGTCGCGTCTATCTAGGGTGGGTAGTCGAGACAGCCGGTACCATTTGAGTTTTGCGTTGACCACTTGTTCGTCCGTGATGTCGCCGCTGATATAGTCCATGTTGCTGAGCTTCTTCAATTGGTGGTACGTAGGTACATCGATCAGCAACTCTTCACAACGTTCGCGGATGGCTGAAAGCAAAGAGCAATCCTGGTCCCATTCTGAGTAATGCAAGTGCTGCAAGTACAGAAGCAGATCCGAAGAAGAGAGCAAATCCAGGTCTTGCTGTAGCCTTTCGGGTAGTTGTTCTGGTGAGAAAGACCCGGCAGTGAACTCCGTCAGGCCATATTCTGCAAGGAAGCACTGGTATCTGGAAAAGCCCAGCTTGCTGAGGTATGTATGGAGCAAAACCGCGCCAATGTCTTGGACGGACTTAGACACATATATGATGACGGATTGAGTTCTCGGCTCCGCTTCCCAGACTGCCCAGAACTGAACACCACTCGGTGTGTGGAATCCAGAGTCAAGCGCAGAATATACCTGTAGCTGGTAGACGTCCTCTGTATCGTCATTGGTGCGAGCCAGTGCCTCTACGAGTTGTGAGATGGCATTTCTTGACGTTGGTAGGGATTCCAAAAAGTGACTACTGCTGTGACAATATCCACGAAGGATTTCTGCGATAGGATGTAGTTGTGCAGCAGAGAGTCGATTGAGCAGTTTCAGATCCCGCAGACGTCGCTGTGAGTCGAGAACCCGAGAGAAGTCATCTCGTGATGCATCTAATCCAATTGGAAAGCATCCCAATGACTCGTACGGCGACCCGTTGTAGGAGCAACATAGTGGGTTACTGACATGCTTCTCCCTAGCGATCGTCCATTCCATTCCTGACGACGCTGGCGATGTCGATATTTGCGAGACCAATACTCCGTTCTCGTCAATCTCTGGGTAGTGTATGATGTCTGTGGATATGCTGGAGATGTCGTCATCGTCCGACTCTGCTCCGTCGAGCCCGGCGAGCGTATCGGCGAGGAAGGGGAAAATCTTCTGCAATGGGAGATAATCGTCGATGATGCTTGAAAAACCAGGAGACAGCTATAGAAATTTAGCGGATGGCTCACAAGGCATAGAGAGTGAGACTTACTGCTCGTGCGGTTCGATATTTTTCGTGAACGTCCATCACTTTCCGTTGTTTCAGCCACTGGAAAGCTGCCAAAGGCTCTTGACAATGAACAATGGCGTCCATAGCGGTTAGAGCTCGTCGACGTGGGAAATAAGTGATGGCACCATGGTAGTTGCACCACATATGCGCTCTTCTAACAACGGCGTGTGAGAGACTGGCATCGTCTTCGATTGTATCCCACATCATTGTCAGGAACGACCGTTGGCAGGCCTGGGATACAAAGGATTTTGTTGTAGTCTTCATCTTGTCCATATCGAAAAAATCTCGACGCTCTCCATTCAACATAATCGTCCCGTTGCGAACTACGAAGCCAGCGAATAATCCGACATCCAGCTTCTCGATGCTATCCAGGAATTCTGGAGCTTCCACTTCCAAGTAGACGTCTAGACCATAAGCAATGAGGAGCTTGGTCAAACCGTTGAGTAAAGGGACCGCAATGCGCTCTCGCCATCCAGAAACAAGGACGCCAGTGAAGTATCTCCGTTGGTCCGGCTGTCGTAGAGTCCGCTGGATAGTCCACGAAAGGACGTATACTGCTCGCGCCATGTCCAGCTCAGTAGTCGTCGCAAACGTGATGATCTGTGCCAGGTCGAGCCGCGCGATGATGTAAGGTCCCATAGGAACAATATCATCACCAACAGCATCCAAGACTCCGGGTTCGCAATAATCCAGCACTACGATGTCCCATTGAGACAATATCCGCGTTTCCTCTTGTGTGATTGGGGTGTTCAGAAGGCCCAGGTATACGCCAAAGGACGAAGGTTTTCCGGGAAGAGTATGGGTTTTGCGGACGACACTCGGACTGTGCGATAGCAGATGGATTCGTTCTTGTACCGATCGCGGTAGACCAAGCTCGTTGCTATTCCCCTGAGAATCTTGTAAGCCTAAAACCGGGTGGTACATATTCAGATCATACCTTCAACAACGTCCGAACAGAACGATAAGAATACCAAAGGAACGCAACAACTCCCACAAGCCCACTGGCACTGATGATAGCAACAAGCGCCCATTGCCACCACTCCTGAAAGACTGAACCAGTGTCAAAGGCTTGAATGCCGAGAATATCTGGCGCAGGCATAGTTCCTGTATGATTCCACTGCGGGTAGATCCGATACCCTGGATGGTAGCTCCACGCTCTACAAAGTGCAGCAACAGCTCTTTGTTTTTCTGAACAGAGACAAGCTACTGAGCGATACACAGAGGTTTTGTATCCTGATCCATAACAAGGGCCGTCAAAGTAGGGTGGATGTGATATTCTAGCAAGACAATCAGCGACTAGGTAAAGATACCCTTAACGTGCACATGAGCCATCTCATCTGCTATGGAAAGCCAGTTTTAAGAAAACAGAGAATTACAGCACATCCTATGTTCATACAGTCATGTGTTAGCTGTTGATCTGCGAATCGCGTTAGCATACATGGTTGGTGGTTAGCCGGTGCAAAATATCCACCGCTGCAAGACCAGCGGCAGTGGAGGAGCGCAGCCATCCTTCGAGAATTCTGCAATACGGCTCTTGGCCGCCACGAATGGCATTGGAGCGGCAGTCATCAGTGAGTGGCTTGCAGCGCGAAGCCTTCTGACCGGGCATTGGCAAAGGCGATGACAGGGAATGCTGGCGACGTCTAGGGGGTCAGTGGCCATCTATTCCGAACAGCGAAGCGTGACTGTATTGAGGCTAGGTCAAAGACGATTTAGATCTCAACGATGAGGCCATGTCAGCGAAGGAGGGTGTCGTGATGACGCGACAAGAGTGGTGGACGAGGGAAGACGTGACGAGGCTGGAATTCGGGGGTTCGGCAGCAAATGTCCGTGCATGCCCATCATCGCTCTTTCAATCACGTTCATCCGGCATAGCTTTTTAGCCTAACTTCCTCCGCACTGCGACTTTAATATCAAACTTCATCTATTACGGCATCTTTGTCGGTCTTGTCTCCGAGGCACATGCAATGTAATGCACCTGCCGCAGATGAAGTCTGGATCAGTAATTGCTTGTGCAATATGGCCAGGTTGCGGGCAGACGCGTGGTGCTTGCATGGAGCCAGGCTAGAAGACACCTGGCGCATTGCCCACAATATCCTTACACACTTGCATAGTTTCATGGCCCCCAAAAGATGAATGATTGCCATGGACACCAGCCGTGCACACCTCGAGCATACAGCGACTCTATCCTTAGGCTCTATTCGAGACGGAAACGACCAGTGGCCTGGTAGGTAAAGGACGTGGTCAAATCACAGGTCCTGTAATACTCTTAGATAGCTGCAATACATTGCTCTCACGTGGCAAAAATCATAACGCTACCGCTTCTCAGGCACAAGGACTAGCCAAGACCCTTGCTGACTATATGGCTATAAGGGCATGTTACGTATGCGAAGTAGTCCAGGAGTACGGCAATAATGGTTTGAAGCCTCTGATCGAGCTATGCGCCGCGTCATGTTCTGCATCAAGCTGAGCTACAGGTAGAACTCCGACTGCTGAGGCTAAGAAGGGAGAAAATCAATAGTCCCTTGATCGTTTACTGCATCTGGACCAATGTCCCCCCAGTGGCGTACGAGACGATATCTGCCGAGACTTCTTTATTAAGCCGTCCAGGTTCCTCAAAAAAGGTCTCGTCAGCAAGTTGTTCACTTCGCGTCTCACTATGGCGTCTTCCGGTCTATCGTCATTGCGAGCATGCGCACTCACATGCCTCTGTCTCTTCTTGCAGCATGTTTCGGCGTACGTGGGAAGCGCCACGGTATCTAGCACGATCCTGGTCATTGCACGCGATTCGACATCGGCCATCAATGGCGCTACGCTTGGCCTACAGGGTTACGGCATTCCTTATGAGATCGTCACTGTTCCCCAGGCTGGTATCACGAATCTTCCCCTACTCAATTCCTCGGCTACACATGGCAACTATGGTGGCATTGTCACCATAAGCGAAGTGGGATACAACTATGGAGACCAATATTACAGCGCGCTTACTAGAAGACAATGGAATGATCTGTATGCATATCAAACCAACTTCGGTGTGCGAATGGTCCGTCTCGATGTGTTCCCCACTGCCGACTTTGGGGTCGTCAGCAACGGTGGTAATTTGAACGATGAGCCGGTATCCTTCACAAACAACACTGGATTTACCACGGCTAACTTGAAGCCGTAAGTCTTGAAGCTCGCGACATTCGGATCAATGCTGACTTCAACCACAGCAATGTAGACGTGAGTATCGCGAACATCTACCACACCCCTGCGACAATTACAAATTCCTCGATGGCATGGGAAGTTGCCAAGTTCTCTGGCAGTGGAACAGCTGCAGTCGTCAACCAGATAGGTCCTCGTCAACAGATGGTATGGTTTTTACCTTTTGCCCTAGATTGGGCACCCTCGAGTAACATTCTGCAACACGCATGGATTACCTGGGTCACAAGAGGGCTCTTCGTTGGCTTCAGGAGAATCTACTTCAGCACACAAGTAGATGATATGTTCCTGGAGACGCCTATGTACCGACCTGCAGGCGTTAATTATCGCGCCAAGCCCGACGACCTTTCGATGCATGTTACTTGGCAGGCCGAACTGAATGCGAAGATGCCTACAGGGTCCGAGTTCTTCATAGAGATTGGACACAACGGTAATGGTGATATAGAGACCTCTACAGATACGACTGAGGGCGAGAGGCTCTGTAGTCCTACGTCCGCGATTGAATACCCCGATCAAAAGGACGGTAACCCAGAATACCAAAAGCCTCCCGGTACTGGCACCAATATCTGGCCTGCTACACCTTCCCAGTATACATGGAGCCTCGAGTGTGCGGAAATAGATGAATTGCAGAACTGGTTCGCAGATGAGGAGCAACGCGACGCCTTCGCGCACATTTCGCATACCTTGTAAGCCTCTCATATATCCAGCCTCTGCACCACTGACTTGAAACCAGTTCGCACGCTGACCTGACTAACGCGACGTACTCTGATGCATCGAAAGAGATCTCGTTCAACCAAGCCTGGCTGAAACAGGTCGGTCTTGATGCTGCTCAACGCTGGAGTGGAAAGGGTATCATTCCGCCTGCTATTACTGGTCTCCACAATGCAGATGCCATCAAGGGATGGATGGACAACGGGATCGTCAACGTGGTGGGAGACAATACGCGTCCAGTCCTTCGCAATCAGCAAAACACCTTCTGGCCATTGACTACCAATGTTGAGAACAATGGTTATGCAGGACTCAACGTCATGCCACGCTGGGCTACGCTCATCTACTACAACTGCGATCTCCCGGCCTGTACATTGCAAGAGTGGATCGATACATCAGCAGGCAAGGGAACGTTCGACGATCTAATGGACAACTCTCGAGACACCGCAATGCGCAATCTTTTCGGATTGCATTGGGACCCGTAAGCGAAGCATTTTTGCCGCATCACAGAGTTATACTGATATGCAATCTAGGTATATGTTCCATCAAGCCAATATGCGCGTCAACGACGTTCCATCTACCACCGTGAATGGAAAAAGCGGGCAGTATTCGCTACTCATGACGTGGATCGAGGTCATTTCGGCTGAGATGATGCGCCTGTATGTATATTTTGCTTCATGGCAAGATCTGCCGACTAATGTACTGCAGAACCACCTGGCCTTTCAAGACACTCAAACATGATGATCTTGCGCAGCAGTTCATCAATCGACAAACTCGCGACCTATGCCGACCGAGCTTGACATGGACAACATCCGCAAACGGCGCCAGTATCGAATCTGTTAATGTATACACAGCAGGAGGCAACAAGTGCGGAACGACGATACCCATCACTTTTCCAGGGGATGTGACAAGCACGACTGGTGCAACCAAAGAGCAGCTTGGAAGCGATCCTCTTACATTGTGGGTATCGATGAGTGGCGCAAGCAGGCAGTACAAGTTCTCAAAGCCCATTCCGCTGTAAAACTAAGTGCATGTAGTGGAAAACGCGGTACAAACAGCTGTCACATTTTTCATCTTCAATGTACATGTGTTGGCAGTAGCCAACTCCACCTTAAGATCCCTACCGTCTTTTTGTTTGCTTTTACCCTATATATGCGCTCACTACTGGAACCTGCGGAATTTAGGCGGTCATTACCGACCCCTGATCGAGCCCCACACCCGCATAGCCACTTCGCCAATATGGATGAATAAGGCGACCAAGTTGGCGGGGTGGCAGCGCCTCAGCTCGCTACATGGTTTCATACCATCTTCCATCTCGTCAAAGCCACAGTGTGACGTGTTTTCCTAATGTTCATGCCTAAGCTCTCTGCTACTCTGACCATGCTTCCTAGACATCATTCAAACAGCATCTGTTGGTGATCGCTCGCTCTCTGTTGCACGATCTTCCAGGCAAGAGCATGTTCCTGCAACACGCCACTCCCGCAATATCACTGCATGAAGGCTACACCATATGCAGTTACTGTCCGTCTTACATAAAATAGCTTTATATTAACTACATATGCAGCGCGGCGCGCTGCACTGCGCCGCTTGCGACGCGTCCTTTCATGAGATTTCTGGACTATTGAATTCTCGATAGGTCTAGAGGCTGTTGCGTATGAATTATGGTCGCATTGAAGTTTGAAGACAAGCCGTGCTTAGGTATACAAGAATTTTGTTAAAGGAATCTTCGCGTCTGAGGTGTGTCTAGAAGCAGCTCAACCGACGGGGCGTACTGGCAACCCTCTACCTCTTCTTCCTAGCGACCAACAGCACAAGCACGTAATGGATGCGAAACTCAAACCGAGGCGACCATGGTCTTTGCGGCGGAAGATTTTTCTCGCAATCCTCATCGCAGTCTTAATACTTGCACTCGGCTTGGGATTAGGTCTCGGTCTTACCTTGGGACAGGGCGACGACAATAACGATGACAACAACGACGGCAACTCTTCCCCACCAACACCTCTGCCAACACCAAACACCACACTACCATGGGTACCATCCGTATCGGATACCTGGCAAATCATCCTATCTCACCCGCCCATCCTCTCTTCTTCTGAGACCAGCACAACCCCCAACGTCAACATCTTCGACATCGATCTCTTCGACACGCCGATCGAGACAATTCAACAACTACATGCTATGGGAAAGAGAGTGATATGTTACTTCAGTGCAGGAAGCTACGAGGACTGGCGACCTGACGCTTCAAAGTTTACAAAAGAGGATCTAGGACACGACCTAGACGGGTGGCCAGGCGAGAAATGGTTAGATCTGGGGAGTGAGAACGTGAGAAGGGTGATGAAGAGTAGAGTGAATTTGGCAAAGAGCAAAGAGTGTGATGGTGTTGATCCTGACAATGTTGATGCTTATGTGAGTACTTGGTCTACCATTGAGGCTTTCGAACCTACAAGACTGTCGCTGTGCTAAACGAGATGTAGCAAAACGACAACGGCCTCTCCCTAACCCAGAATGATTCAATCGCTTACATGCAGTATCTATCGGATATCACTGCGCCTCTGAATCTTACACTTGGACTTAAAAACGCCGGAGATATCATACCAACTGTTCTGCCCATCGTACATTTTAGCGTCAATGAAGAGTGTGTAAAGTATGGTGAGTGCACCACTTTCGCCCCCTTTATCGCTGCGGGGAAGCCGGTGTTCCACATCGAGTATCCGGATGGGGCAGGCGCAGAACAGGGATTGCAAGATGATGCAGTAGGGCGGTCCTGCGACAGAACGGGGAAAGGAGAAGGGAGCGAAGGATTTAGCACGGTGTTGAAGAAGATGGAGTTGGATGGATGGGTGGAATACTGCAATCGGCAGGTCGAAGTCACAGATGTAGATGAGAGTCTTGGTAACCACGACTAGAGAATATGAGCCACATGCGACCCTTGAAATACTTCAACTCTCAGAACCTGGATTTTCTTCCTGGAGTAATGCGACAGTGTGTCTCGTGCCGATTAGAGGCGAGTGATTGGAGTAGGAGTCACGTAAAGACTTACCAGGCTTGCTGACATAGCATCTCTCGTGTAGCAACTTCAAAATCGTGACGCAAGGTTGTCTCAGCCCCCACTACATCAACGTAGGTCTTTCAGACACCTTGAGTTTCGATCTTACCGGCGAGCTGAGATCCAAGGCGAGATTTCATTCTTCCACGTCTCCTTTACCCTAGCCTTGCGACCCTAGGTATGTGGAACATGCAGTATACGTAACCTCGGATTATTTGACTTGACATTTAGCCGCCACAAAACCTGGAGAAACCTTGCTTATGCCGGTTTGTTGTACTTACGCCGAAACGAGCCATGGCCGTTGATCTGACATAGGTGGCACATGTTCGAGCGTCACCAGCTCAGTGGTGGAATATGGTGTCACCAGCTTTTGCCAATTTGACGGACCAAGCAGGAATCATGCACTCGATCGCGGTACGGATCCGGTAGACCAAAGGGCAGTTACCGACCGGTTGAATGTGATCCAATATCCGATGCAAGTGGAGCGAGAAATCTGGGGCGGCTGCGGTAGCTGTGCTCGGCATTGAGCTTGCTTATTCTTGTGGTGAAAACCGATATTGATTGTTTCCTGGTCGGGTGAGTGTACAGTCTTCTTTGAACCAACTTCCCATATGGCTGACGTGGCATAGAACGATGGCTGGCTCTGCCAACTTCAGACCTCGATCTTCTTCGCAGATTTCGATATGAAATGGTGCGTTAGTCGACAGATCCACAACGCAGAATGTGTGGCGGGCGGATAGGTTCCCTATTTGCGGAAATCTTACCTCCAAGGCACCAATGCAAAGTGCAGCCAGGATCACAATGCACATCCAGCAGGTAATACGAAACACGTAGTTTGCCAATGGGTCGGGATCTCTAGAGGGTCGTTCGGATCGACGTTGAAGACATTCGGGTCGTTTCCGACCTTCTCAAACTAGCCAGCGGACCCGGAGATGCGTTACACAAATCCTTCCCTTACATGCAAGCCACAATAGACGGCCGATCCGTGGCACCGGGTACAATACGAGCTTTTGAGAATCCGGAGAAGTGTGTGTGTATGCGATCATGCACATTCCTATTGCCTCTTCGGTCGTCGGATCCTGATGCGTGTATCGGGATCTGCTTTGTGTAGCTGAGGCATCAGCACGCGGCTCGGAATGTCTCTGTAGGATACCGGAGATGTTTGTTTAGAGACACATCCACTCAGACGCATGATTCTGTAGGAGCCTCGACCAACAAAAGTATGTGGTTGGGCAGGTCGATGTCGCCATTTAATGAGGCTGATGACGCCAAAAGGCGCAATGTCTTGTGTCGCTGTCTTGCTGTGAGACCTCGACCAGCCAATATTCTGAATAGCTGTAACTAGGGATGCATGTCAGATCTCAATTGGCTTCTCGCTCCCACGCGCTCCCATCATTGGTGGTGAAATCTGAAACTTGGCAACTTGCTCTCGGACCTGATCGATCGAAAACGCAGCGGAGAAATTCTTTCGGTACGACGAAAGTCGTATGGCGCGAGACAAGGCCCTAGTATATGCTGCTGCAAACGAAGGATCGAGGCATGACATGAAGAGGTTGACACTCCGTGACACAACAGTCATCGCGGCATTATTTCGGACTTTCACCCATTCGTGCAGTATGAACAAGGTACTCCTTCGGAGAGCCGCCGGCACTTAGCCTCTATTGCATCGCGAAGCAACCGCGGCATTTCTCCAAGGATGATATTTCCTAAGGAAAGTGCCTGGAATCTCGAAGCCTGACACTTCGCTTGCGAAAAGGCGGAGAAGGGCATGGACCCAAGCAATGCGGAGCAGAGACTGCATATTGAGATGAAGGCCAAGGTTGAAATAGAGTATATATGCAGCCCTAGTGCAGGATGAAAGGCTTAGCCTTTCGACCCGGGGTACCGCGCAGGGGTTCGATGAGCTAGATCTGCCGCCTAAAGCGGCAAACAGGGTACGGGTCGGGGTAATGTTGAAGCCAACCGTCTTTGGACTTTTTGGACTCCGAATTACCAGGTCAGATTTTACGATGATCGTTGCTTGTTTGGAGGCGGCGCTGTTGAGTTGGAAAAGTGCTTCTTCGGCTTTCCTTGGATTCAACCGACGGCATGGCGGACCGCTTGTGTCACAGAAGGACTTTGTGCATTGCGTGTACTACATTTGGTATTTTCCACTTGGACGCATTGTCGGCTTTTCCCTGGAGAACTCACAGTGGCGCATGTTAGCAGTCAAAGACATGTATGTCTTGGGGCGATCGATCCACTGTCGTCCGCTAATTCTAATTCAACAAAGCAGCCAAGTCTTCGATGAATGCAGACATAACGCCATCAGAGTTGGTAGAGTCCGAGCCAGCCGTCAACCAGATGTTACGATCTACAGCCAGAAGTTGCAGTAGCGTACTAGCTGTATCGACGGTTGTCAAATCTGGCACAGAATGCACAAGAAGCGCGAGGTTTTCTCGATTACGCCAGGCCGTCCCAGCGACAACCCCAGTACTTTGAGGGTTGCTACATCGAAATAAAGAGGCACTGGAAGGGCGCCAGAGTTGTGGACGGGAGTGCAGAGTTAACCTTATGCTCACGTAACTGCCGGGATTGGAGGTTGTGTATTTCGAGGCGCGTAAGTCACTCGGAAACTCCTGGTAGAGTGGATGGCACCATAACAAGGATCCAGAAGAGCCAACTTCCGCGTTTGTTCGTACTACTAATGCAAAGGAAAGCGGGCTCACCTTACCAATATAACTGTCCTTTAGTCCGAGGCTTTCTTCAACTGCTTGAGGAGATGCTATCAAGATACACAGCATGGGTCGAGGCGTACTGTGTAGGTGTCTCGTCGACGAAGATGCCGCCCAACGCTAGTGAAGAACTGTATTCTCCCCCAGACCGAAGAGACAGCAGTTTCGTCAAGTACAGAACTCAAGTCCCTAGTACACCACGTGGTTGTTGCATAGCCGATAGTGCGTACATTGTTGAGCAAGTTGAGCGCCTCAATGACTGTTGAATCCTCTGCATTCGGCAATGCGCCCTCCCTGGGCCCGTTATGTATGTTGATTACGATTGTAAACTGTACTCGAAAGAAATGACAATACTCTTTGGGTGGCGGATGTAGTTAGCTACGGTATGACAAGTAACAATAACACAAAGGTACAGTATCATACACATCGTAAAGGGCATCTCATGCGCCTGCTAAGGGACAGACGTAGAGCAGAAGAATCACCAAGCCAGGCCTGTTCATAGCTCTACTTGGAGCGCGGCTAGCTGAGAGCCGATGACGAAATATCGATTTCGGCCGAGATCAGTCAACGGAGAGCAACACATGGAGAGATACAGCGACTGACTGCTGACGAACGGCAATGTGGAATGAATACTTCCGTAGTGTGTTTGGGCACCGAGAACAAGCTTAACGAATGCCGGGATCGGGTATCGAAAGAAGCCTCGCAGTATGCCCACGTTGGATCTCTTGTGGCCCAGACGATGGTATTTTCAGAAATTAGAAGACGCGGCAATGCAACCCACACGGGTACGTATTGCGCGCTCGGTCATGCAAATTGGACAGGGATGGTTAGCGATGCGAGAGTATATTTCGAGAGTGCTAGACCTGGGGAGACTCCGAAACTGATGAGTCGGGATGAAGAGGCCGCATCGTGCCAAGCAACGTAAACAATATTGACGGCGCAGGAAAAGTCAGACTCTGGCGCCTTCTGCCTAATTGATCGTGAGTTGAGGCTGTTGTTGAGTGGTGGTGCGTATAAAGATTTTCGGACGTATCGAGAAAAGTAGCGCCGTAAAGATCAACAGATTCTCTCTTCTTTATCCATTCGCTAAGCAACCGTGTTTGTCCAACATGTCGTCATTCTCTTCACAATATTCGCCGTCGCCTTCTGTGACACCAGAGGTACTCAACACACCAGCAACAGAGCGGTCTGTACTATTCGACGACGAACTAGTTGCGGATCCTCTAGACATCGATGGATCTAATTCTGCCTTTATCATGGTCGTTGGCGGACTGGGGTATATTGGCTCGCACACGGTATTGGAATTGCTCAAGGAAGGCTATAACGTTCTGGTCATCGACGATTTGAGCAACTCGTACGAAGACGTCTTGACAAGAGTACGGTCTCTTGCCGCAGAATACTGCGCAATGCAGGAGCGTCGAATGCCAGCACTGCACTTCCGTCAGCTGGATTACAGAAGCGCACAGATGAAAACCGTGTTGGCCAGCTATTCATCGTATTCAATCATCAAGAAGCCAGCACCTGCTGCAGCAGGCCATCCGTACTCGACACTGCGAAGAATGGATTCCGGCATTGATATGGACATGGATGACGCGCCAGAACCCGTCGTTGAGCGACAATGTAGGATATTAGGTGTCATCCATTTCGCGGCGTACAAGTCGGTGGAGGAGAGTATACGGATGCCTTTGAAATACTACAACAACAACGTTTGCGGACTCGTTGACTTTCTTGCCTTGCTGGAAGAGTTCGACATTAAGAATTTCGTATTTTCGTCTTCCGCAACGGTGTATGGCGAGGGCGCCAATTGCGGGCTACCTCTTCGCGAGGAACTTTGTGTCCACCATCCGGAGTCGTTCGTAGAAAACGACGGAACAGAACGTCGAGTTTTACCAGGGGTCCTAGGCCTCACATCGCCTTACGGACGATCGAAGTTTATGTGTGAATCCATCTTGGCAGATCTGGCATACTCTGACCCCACATGGTCCATAACCGCCTTGCGATACTTCAATCCAGTATGTACAATCAATACTTGAGATACGGAGAAATAGTTAACGGCTGCAGGTTGGTTGTCATGAGTCTGGTGTCCTAGGTGAAGACCCTCGGCAGAAACCAAGCAACCTAATTCCAGTTATCGCGACAGTCTTAACCGGCACCAAGTCTGTTTTAGACATATTTGGTACCGATTGGAATACCCCAGATGGAACAGCTGTTCGAGATTTTATTCATGTAGTGGATTTGGCTCGAGGCCACATCGCAGCGTTGACAGCTTCGACAGCCGGGCGCATTACTGCGCCTTTCAGAACTTACAATCTCGGTAAGTCGAAACTCTTGAAAAAGCGCAAGCCATTGCAAAGTCTCATACTAAACCCGACCAGGAACAGGGCGAGGACACACCGTTCGTGAAGTACTCCAGAGTCTGGAAGATGCATCTCAACGGAAGATTCCAGCCAGAGAAGTTGGCCGGAGGGCAGGAGACGTCGGCTTCTGCGTGGCGGAGGTGCGACGTGCGGAGACCGAGCTGCAGTGGAAAGCAGAGAGGTCATTGAATGACTGTTCTGGCGATGTGTGGAACTTCACCAAGGCTCGATGCCCAGAGTTGTAGTCCAACAGCCTTTCCGGACGCTTTTGATCTGTCTTCTCCAACTTTCATTTCCTGCATTCTCTAGCATCGGCGGTAATCCAGCAAGATAGACATCATCGAAATTCAATACCCAATCTCCTCAAATGATCGACCAATGCAAATGCGACGATCTTGTATGAGGATGCCTGGCGAATCAGTGTTCTTGCGCACCAGCATCGAGATTTCCACGATGTTATCCATCAGGCTCGAGCGCGAAGTCTGAAAGACGGGAATCTCTGACGCGACGTGCTTCCATGCTCTTGTTCGCTGCCGCCGTAAATTGCCACGAGGCTAATATTGTTCAGGAAATTGCAGCCACGTCCAGGAAGTGACAAAACCAGTGTCGAGCGTTAAAAAGCTCTAGAAGCTTCGAGCAGGTCCGCCTCCTTTCATATTCATCCAGCGTTTAGAAAACCCTCTTCTGGCCAATCCAGACTGCGCTTGAATTGCTTTTCCTCTTCGTGTGGGTGGGCTCGTTACTGGTATTAGATAAGGTAAAGTCAGCATAGCGAGCCAAGGCGACCTTGCATCGAACCGAAATCCTAGATCGAGCCGAGATCCTAAAGGCAACACTCGGTTGCTACGACGCTGCCCGCACTGCCCGCGGATCACATTTCGTCGACTAAAAACAACATCCAATCGCATTAGATAGACTCTGTGGCAAGCCCACTACTCCAGCTGGATCGCTACACTCAACCCTTTCCGCCGAACTGTGCGCAACAACCACTAACCCCACGATAAACTGCCAGAGCGAAGGGCGGATTGTGGGCTAGCAACGCGGCGGTGACGGGAATGCGCCCCAAAACGGCCCAGTAATTGACGACGGCATCTCCGTGTAAGCAGTTTGCGGGACCCGATTCGCCAATCCCGCGTTTCAAACCGGCAGGCTTGCGTTGAATCGTACAAGCGAGTACAGGCGACGGCAGGATCCAACGGTGCGTCAAAGGCGACGGGGTTGTCCGGGCCTTCTTCGACAGTGCGATGAGGTTGCACAATACATGTTGTCCTAAGCTGAAGAGCTGAGCGAGGGCGGTCGCAGAGGGGCCAGCAAGGGAGGCTGAGGCTCCCCTTGCCTTGCATCTTGCGTTCGGCGAACACGACCGATTGGATGGCAGACGGGTTCGAGAGTCGGAAGCTTTTTGGCGAGCGATTCAGCGCTAAGCCAAGGGCATCACGTGCCCTTGTCAACAGTCTAGCAGCCCGCACCCGTTAGGAACCTCAACGCCTCTACCTTACGCACAGTCGCAAAACCACACCGACCTGGATACCGTGGACGCTTCAAAAGTTGCTATTAGAACAGGTGCTGATTCAGATGCCCCCTTCCGCAATGGCAATGCCTGGCCAGCACATGACGGGCAGCGCTCCTTCCAACATCTCGGCTGGCGTAGATCCCGCTTTCTGGGGTGGTGGCCACCAGGACTTCCACTCGCAATCAGACTCCACATCGCCATTATCGCCCTCACTAGGGCTCCATCTGTCGCCAGCAGCAAGCATTACCACCCAGAGCAGCATCAATGGAAGTACCCCGCCGGCGCAGACTCCCCAATCCGACAGCGGCAGCAAAGGAACGGGCGGGAAGACCAGTCAGAAGCAGTCGCCTAACGACCAAACCAGAGCATCGGTCGCTGTCGCATGTGTCCCATGTCGCAGCAGACATTTGAAATGCGACGGTGGTGTACGATGTTCCCGATGTAGGACCGACAATGTGGAATGCACTTACATCAAGTCGCGAAGAGGCTGGAAAGGAAAGCGGAAAACCAAGGAAGATAACGCGACAACCACAACGACAACGACGACAACAACGACTCCCAATGGTAGGTAATCGCGACCATCAAGTTGACATGTCTAACACGTTCAGGTGAAGTTCCAGTGACCAGCGGCCACATCTCCTCACCAGAGTATTCCTACAATGGCGATGCTGGCTTGAACCAGCTCAGCCCAACTCATGGCCTTGGCGTCCGACCTGTGGCCCCACCAGTTGCTCAACTCAACCTAAATGGAACCGCACGTCTGAACCGCTTTGGTCATTTGGGACCAGAGACTGCTATCCAGGCATTCTACCATTTCTTCTACAATTCACATCCCTTTTGTCTCCCGGAACCCAGGTTAGTGGAAATCTTCAAGGAACGCCATGCCCCACTTTTGGAATACGCTGTCCAGTTCATCGGGTCCAGTTTCATACCATCCGTGCCCACAGCCATGTATAAAGAAGCTTTGGATCAGCAGATCGACAGCAACAACTACCCGAGAGACGCGTGGTCGGTACAAGCACTACTGCTCTTTGCCATTGGTCTCCACGCTCACAACGAGGTCCTACGCTCAGCACAAATCTTCAGCATTGCTCAAAACCTGACGCTGGAGATTGGCCTCAACCGGATGGAGTTTGCGCTTGTGCATGGAGAGAACGACCCTCAGTTGGAAGAGAGCTGGCGGAGAACATGGTGGTCCATGTTCACAGCCAACGGCATGATGACAGCAGTCAATCCAGGCGTGCAGTTCAGACTGAAAGACGTAGTGACCGACGTCCCGTTGCCATGCGAGCAAGACCAGTATCTCTCAGGTGTAAGTCCCTCATACCCTTGCTGTCACATTCTGACATGTGTCAAATCGGCTTGGCAATGTTTCCCTCTTTAGCGCGATCGTGTACCCTTGCTGCTTCAGATAAGATCGTCTGACTTGCATGTCATACTTGATCGAGTGATAACTTGCATGTCAAACCTTATCTATTCCGCGGAGTGCATCGTTGACCCCCAAAGAGAGAAAGAGAAAAAAAAACAAGAGAAGACTGACACGTACGCACAGCAAATCCCTTATCCACCAACCCTCCAAGACTACGATGACTCGTCTTTTCTCGCCCATGCCTTCACCTTCTCCTCCTTCACTTACCTGATAGACGCCATCCGTATCCTGGGGAAAGTCTTCGAAACCGCTCGTCTCGACAGCACCTTTGAGTACCACGCCGTCGACGTCGTAGACCAATACCTTTGCAACTGGCGTCTCCACTTACCCGCTTCCAAAATGGAACTTGTATCCAATGACGGCCACATCGACGAGGTCCTCTTCCAAGCGCACATGGTGAATGCCGGCAGCACAATCATGCTGCACCGGCCGCGCAGTAATCTGGGTTTCGGACGCGTCGAAGGCGTAAACATATGCGTGCAACCAGGCCAAGTCTTGCTGCCGACGCAGACGAGAGAGATTCACACGGCAAAGTGCCTGACGTCTGCTGAAAACATCTCGGCCTTGATTCGTCTCCCCGGAAACCTGATAAAGCATACTCCCCTTTTCACCTGCGTCGTGGTGATGGCGAGCGTCGTCCATCTTTCTTATTGGTCCTTCCTCGTTCCGGACGGCCAGGACGACATCATCAAACAATCGATACGCCTCGATGTCGGCACGCTGCAACAGTATAGCAATACGTGGCCCATTGCTAATGTGGTGCTCGGACAGGTGAGGGGCGTGGCGCATACGTTGTTCAATAGTAAGAAGGCCATGTCAATACATTTGTGGAGTAATTTACACCAAGGGGATGTCATCAGAGGGGTTATCGAGGAAGGACGCGAGGTCCCGACGCAGCAGTATGCGCAGTTGATTGCGCCGTGAGTATTTCCCTTTTTTCTCTCCCTTCTTCTGACAGTTCTGAGTGCTTGAATCATATGCTGACCCTTTCTTCTCTAGGATGTTGAAGTCGTAGACATTGACTCGTCTTGCTTGTTCTTGTTGCTCACTTTCGATTTAGTTTGTCTCGTTCTCGCGCCGATATCATTTGTTGTTTTGATATTCTGTTGCGTCGTCAAAACACATGCGTCTCTCAAGTACAGCGAGCGAATCTTCTCATTTAATCAGTTGATGAATCTCTATCGCTGCGATGTCTTCCAGGCGCTTTCATGTCTGCTTCTATGCGCCCCTCTTTATCTGTATCATGAGCACATCGGATATCACGTTGTCGTATCTTTTATTCGGGATCAGGTGGCGCATTCACAAAATCCCCTAGCAGCGAGCCAGCGCTGTTGGAACAATACGGTGCTGTTGGAAAGGGATATAACGAAGATATGAAGCATGCTGTTGTCGTAGTAGTAGTAGTAGTAGTAGTAGTAGTGGTAGTTACGCCATTGTGCGTGTTAATAGCAGAATCGAGAAGCCCTCCTAATCGTCAATCGTGTCTTGAGTCATTGATGCAGAACGTCTAGTTGTTCATTCGTCGAAGCGCCGGCTAGTCCAGCGCTTCATGTCGGATACCTCCGCAATTCCTCCTCGTTATGCCCAATTTTCACTAAAGATGCCCTCGGTCGCATATCCGTTTCCCATTCCAACTAAATCTCATCCCATGTCGTATACCCATTAGAGCCCTAGCCGTGGCCTAGAGCAGCGCTCATGACCGTTATCTACAAATCGGCGTCGTCCTCATCGGGCAGAGGCAAGGCAGAGGCGGCCTCCATCTCCTGTCGGTACTGGTCGAGAACGGCCTGGTCGACCTGGACCTCGGGAGGCGCAAGAGCAGGGGCGGCGACAAAGTCGAGAGACTGGTTGCCGACGAGTTTCCTGGCGAGCCAGAGGAAGGGCTTCTCGAAGTTGTAGTTGGACTTGGCGGAGATGTCGTAGTACTGGAGGTTCTTCTTTCGGTGGAAGGTGATGGACTTTGCCTTGACCTTGCGCTCTTTGACGTCGACCTTGTTACCGGTGAGGACGATGGGGATGTTCTCGCAGACACGGACCAGGTCGCCTGAAGAGATTAGTCTGGTGGTAAATGATAAGAGTGAGGGAGACGTACGGTGCCAGTTGGGGACGTTCTTGTATGTGATACGCGAGGTAACGTCGAACATGATGATACCGCACTGGCCGTTGATGTAGTATCCATCGCGGAGACCACCAAACTTCTCCTGACCAGCGGTGTCCCACACGTCGAACTGGATGGGTCCGAGGTTCTGTTATCTGGTTAGTACCGTATCGCGCCATGTGACGAGGATCGGGTAACATACGGTGGTGAAGCCGAGAGGGTGGACCTCTACTCCGAGCGTCGCGATGTACTTCTTCTCAAACTCTCCAGTCAAATGGCGCTTGACGAAGGTGGTCTGTAGTGGGGCTGTTAGCAATCTTCTGCCACGGTTTGCGCAGCCTTGAATCGCGCAGCCGTCTGGAGTCTCTCTGTTGAGACGGCTGCGCGAGTGACTGCAACAAGCATCGTACCTTTCCAGTACCACCATCACCGACAAGCACGAGCTTGAAGGTTGGGACTGAGCCTTGTGCGGCAGTCTCGGCCATGTTGTCGAGTGTTGTGGCGGGGTGATGTGTGTGAGTGAGGGGGGGTTGGTGGGCAGAAGCTGAGCAGAAAAGATGTTAGTCGAGGTCGCCCGGTTTTATTGAGCAAAAGGCGGTGGTGCAGACTTACAGGTGATAAAGAGTGGGGAAAGTTGCGGGCGTGAAGTGGGCAAGAAGAGGTTTTGTTGTGCTCAAGTGTTGGCGCCCGGGCGGTGTAAATCTCTTGGCGCCTTCCGCAATTTTGACCTCACAGCCAGGCAGGTTAGGCAGGTTAGGCTACAGCAGTCATCACACACACAATCTGCCATCAAGCTGCCATGAAGCAACTTGGACAATGAAATGTTTCGTTTGTCTCGTTGTCTCGAGCAATTAACGCCTCTGAAATGTTTTGTTGTCTCGTTGTCTCGAGCAATTAACGCCGGGTATCATGCTATGCTTTGTCGCTATGCTTGTTGGCCAAACCAGTGCGCCACCCAGCGCATCCACCTGCTCGCCCACCCTACATGGGCAGCAGATGGCAGCCCAATAGCCCTCTTCCGCCCCAGTTCCTCCGTGGTGTGAGTTGCATCTGGACCGTCTCTGCCGGGCCGCCCGATGGGTTGGCTCGCAGCGCCTTGACGGCAATGGGAATCTGTATGCTGTAAGCCTCGTGCACGCAATGCTGGAGGTATCCCGTCTATCGTCGACGCACCCCTTCGTTCTGCGATACTGCCTCTGCCACGCGCGACAGCCTCTCGTGGTTTGTCCAGTCCACCCAGCCAAACTTGGTTATCGTGTCGCCCACCTGCAGGCCCGCTGTGGCTGCCGGGCTGTCTGCCACGACGCTGTTGACCTTTGCGAAAGGCGCCTCGATGGCGGCGGGCGGGGCGCTGAGCTCTGCCTGTGCTCCGTTGGTCGTCGCAGGAGCACTCGCCTGCTCCTGTAGTCGGGCGTGGTGCTCGTGGAGACCCTTCTCGATGCGCGACATGAGGTCCTTGTAGTCATTCTTGAGCCGGATGATGCGCGCGCGCGTCGTTCGTACTGCGACGGTCAGCGACCTGTGGCATGACGCAGGCTCCTGCAGCGCTCACTCTGAGGGACGTCGATGTCACTGCGAGGGAAGCCGTCAAGGGTCGTCAGGCCGGTACTCATGCGCACGCCATGCTACAACAAGACGTTAATTGCTTATCTCGCCTACAGCCCTGACTTGCGTACCGAATCCAGCACCTGCCCTAATGCCTTCAACTCTGCCTCTACTCGATCCTTTTCCGCCATGAGCTCCTGGAGCGTCAGCTGCTCTTTCGGAATGCCATTCGAGTAGCCTGATGACGTAGGCCCCGAAGAGACAGTCGGCGCGTGCATGTCATCCATTATGTAGACGCTGTGAGAATAAGGTCGCAAGATTGTTGGACTGCTTACCACAGCTTGCCCAGCTGAGCTTGGTGTGGGGGAGGGGAGCTCGAGCTGGCGACGAGTGGCCAATGGTGCGGGGCAAAACTACCGGAACAGTCGGCCTTGCTTCTTTCACCTCTTCACTTCTCTACCAAACTTCAGTAATCGTCAAGGTGCGCGCGTGACATGCGCGCATCGCAAATAGCCTCGCAAGACACATGCACTCGATTCAGCTGCCTCGCTACCAGCGTCGACATGGCCAAAGCGAAGTCATTCTACCGTCGCTCTTGCCGTCATAGTGAGTCGCGACTACCAAAATATGCAAAACACAATGCGGCCGCCATGTTAGCTGCTCTGAGTCCATGGCTCACCACTCGCCCCTAACCAAACTCCGTCCATGGCTCCCCGATCGTCTGCGCTTTACGATGCGCCGTCTGGACCCTTTCTATCTAAATGCCGCCATCACGTTCTGGAGAATTTGCGCCGCTGTGCACTTTCCCCCGACCTCTTTCGGCCTGCGTACCCAGTAGTCATATCCAACATGCTTTGTCTAGCTTCCTTGTCGCTCTGCATCGACCAAGTCTCTCCTTAAGCCATCGTCGTTGGATGCAGTAGTATTTATCTCATGCCGCAACAAGCCTTCGTACACGTCCTATCATAGCGTCGACTACTCGACCTGCACTGACATGGCATATGTATTGTCGCTTCGGCCTCAGAGCCCACTCAAGCGTTCCTTCAGCGACAACCCATACCTGAATTCCTGCTCTCCTCAAAAAGACACGTTGCTTGCACCGCTGAGCGACATCGCCGCTCGCAATGGCTCCGCGTGCTCATTGTATTCCCTTGGTGCCACTAGAGCCGACTGGTCTCCAAGTAACGAGAACACACCACCCCTCACCTCTCAGTCGCTGCTGGATCTTGTGCCTGAAAAACCCGGCTTCCCTTTCAACACCAGACATGTTGTCGAAGAGCCACGCAAGCGGAACTGTGGGCCTGATCGACCACCCCCGTCATTCTCACGACTGACTGCCCTTCCGAAGCCAATCCCAAGAGGGTACCATGAGTCGCAGCAGGTGGTGGGGTCGTCTTCTGACGACCAAGACTCAGCTGAAGACATGGACATTGATGATAACAACTTTGATGATACACGCCTGTTCAACCTCTACGAAGCCATCCATGTACCATTACCAGAAGGCCGCTGTACCGACGACGATGGAAATGAGCCACGCGAAGAGTACGAACAAGAATCTGTTGCGATTACTGTTTCCTCGCAACCCTTCCGGCGGTGGATGAGTACCCTAAAACGTCGGCATGCTCAGCGATGGAAAGAAAACTTCTCAGACTTACCGCGGCTATCTTTTGACCCTACAGACGGCTCATCTGTCCTTTCGCGACCGCTAGGGAGACTTTCTGAGTCGGCACGTCGAACGTCAGAGTCTATGACATCTTCAATGGGTTACGTGACGGCAATGAAGTCGGCTTCGATGACCACTGCTAGCAAGAGCATCGCGCCTCGCTCGGAGGTGGGCAAGGTTCGCTTGGGCAACAGAAGCGGCAACTACTCTGAAGCACGTAGATCACTTGAAAGCTATCGCGGCGCATTGGGACCTGTGCTTGATGAGAACGCATGGCTTCGATCATTGCAGCGTCGCAAGGTTGTTGAAGAATTGATATCATCGGAAGAAAGCTACATCGCGGACCTCAAGGTTTTGATCAACGTATGTTACCCGAACAAGCCACTCTGGTCAACTACTGACCTTTAAGGACTATTTCATGATCCTTACTGCCCTTCCTACTCTATCGGGTCAGACGCGATCATCCATACAACAGAACATTTCTCAGATCTTACAGCTCCACGAAGACTTGCTCGCCGAACTCCACCATGTTGTACCTCAGGCAGATTTCACAAAAAGCGCTTATCAAGAGATGTATCCCGTGACGAAAGCCAAACACATACGTTTTCATAGCGCAGACATCGTCCCAGGGCGCTTTGCCGAGCACAAAACGGCCAGAAGGCTCAGGCATTCCTTAGAGATTGGGCGGTCACCAGATCGCAGGCCCCGAGGCCTAGTGACCGACACGCAGACGGCAGGGAACATCGCCAAGGTCTTCAATAAACATGTACGTATGTTTGACGCTGCAATATCCGCTGCTGACGCGTTCTAGATGAAACGCTTCTTCACATACGAGGAATATGGTGCGCATTGGACGACAATGTCTCAAGACCTTACCACCATGTGCAAAGGACTACACGGCTGGCAAGAGTACGAGCGAGGTGTCGAAGCGCTGCAGAAGGTGGTTGCATCAGAGAATAATCGAGAAGCGGGTAGCAAGAAGGCGCTCAGTTTTCCCGATCTCTTGATCAAGCCGATCCAGCGAGTCTGTAAGTACCCTTTACTATTCGATGACTTATGCCGCCACACGCCCGTGTACGACGACCCTGAAGCGCACGCCGAACTTGAGAAAGCTCTCTTCCGTCTACAAGAGACTATTCGCGAAGTCGACAAAGCCAAAGACGACCCTCAGACCCGGCGCCTCATTGAAATCACCTGGCAGCTACAAGACCGATTAGCTTTCTCGGACTACAAGATATCTCGAGCTCTCGTCTTCCGCCTTCTTGGACATGTTCTCCTTTGTGGCGCTCTGCATGTCACCTATCAGACACCTGATCGTATCAAAGGCTCATACCTGGTATGCGTCCTGTACAAATCTTGTCTGGTACTTGCAACGGCAAGTCGGTTCCATACACCTTACACCGTCGTCGCTTCCATTGGACTCGCCAATGCCAGCATCGAGGAGTCTGATAATGGCCGGGGCATCCAGTGCCACACCGCTCCACATACATGGAAATTCGTCTTCGAACACGGCCACCGCCTGCACGAACTCATCTTCAGCGCCTGCAGCTCCCAGGAAGAAGAAGTGTGGAAGAAGCAGCTACGCGAGCGTATTGTCTACGAGACACACGATTTCGTCGAAGGCCAATCTAATATGCAAGACATGTACACCTCCCTGTCGCTAGGACTCAAGTCTCTCGGCCCTGTTTTCGGCCACGCAAACACTCTCGTGCGACGCATGTCCGTCCACCGAGCAGCGACTCTAGGCGCAAAAACAAACATGAGTCAAGTCATCATCAAAAACACCCAGGCGCAGAAGTTACCAGACACACCTCCTACTTTCTCACCCAGCGTAGTAACACGATCGCAATCTCACCTCTCCTCAAACCACATCCCCACATTAGCTCCCCGCCGAGCCGAGCGCATCCGTCTAGAAGGGGCACTAGAAGATGTATGGACGAAAGACATGCTGCCCTTCCCTGGCATGTCGAACAGGCGGATGGAAACCCAGATTCGCGCTTCGGCCAACTCCGTCATGCGCAAACTGAGTATGGCAAGCATCGCGAGCAATTTCTCGCGGAGATCTCCCAGCCTATCTAACACAAGTAACACACGCTCTGAAGATTCCTTTGGCAGTCGCATGCACAAGATGTCGAATGGGAATCTGCGCGCGCAATCTGTGGCGACGGACAGACGGCCTGCTGTTGTACTGCCGCCTGTGGTGAATTTCCACAGCGCACCTGCGGCGTTTTTGCCTGAGGATTTTGAGGTCAGGGATTCGAGGCCGGGGAGTAGACGGAGGAGACTTGCTAATCATGCTATTGGCGTCGAACGGCCGGCGACGACTGATAAAATGGCGCTGAATAAGCCGAAGAAAGTTAGGAGGCTGTCGACGAATCTGATCAGTCTTCCACGATCAGAGTCTAGTGCGAGGGCGGCCGAGAGAAAGGCGAGCAAGGACTCGACTGCAACGACGCTGAGGGGTGCTGTGCTACCCAATGAAGTGGACGTCACGAAGCATATGGAGAACAGGAGGCAGAAGAGACAATGCGAGTACAACAAGACTGATTCGAGACCGGCTTCTGCAGGTGTGGCGAGTGTGGCTTCGAACAAGTTCACGAAGAGCAAGAGTAGGATTTTTAATTTCTTTAGATAGGTAAAGACAACACACACTAGGGGGCAAGAGCTAGGGATGGAAGGTGTATGGCTTTCCTTTGACACTTGACGACTGTTACGACCACGATTACGATTACGACTATCCTTGCGCTCAACAGCAAGTTAATGAGACTATGAATACCACGAATTGAAGCGGCCATCGACATCGACGGCAATGACGACAAAAGAGGCCGATGGGGCAGTGCACAAACAGTCGTGGCATTGCGATCAGCAAGGTTACTGCAAGGTACACCCGTCCCTCATATGACCACGTTGGACTCTGGGGATCGGGAGACTGGCATGACGGCATGACGTCATTGTACTAGCTGGCACACGCGATGGATCGCGTGATGGTGGGGTAGTGATAGCAAAGAGAGAAAGAAGACACGTATATTTGGATAGCTGTTGAAATGAGAGTTGTGTTTATAGTGTCGTCTTTGAAATGTGTGGTCGTATGCAGATTCACTATGTAGCCCAAATCTCCCTTTGTTGTTGGTGGTGCTGTTGTTACTGATCAAGCTTGGATGCTATTTCAGACACATCGCATCGTATATCGGAGACTGCCTGCGATCATCAGGCCAGAGCCTGCTAGGTGGTTGGATGGATCGTGGCGGTGTTGCTGGAGGTCTCTTCTTCTATGCTAGCATCGCATTGCTCGGAGAGGGGGCAGACAATACACCCTTGGCGCATTGTTTCAGCAAGAGCCGCAATGCAGCCCTGTGAAACCAAGAGGCTTACGTAGCAGATAGCCACTCTACTTGCTTTAGCCCGCAAGCTTCCCAGGCTGCGATGAAAGCTGCGTGAGGCTTGGCAATGACGTAGCGCTACCGGTCAAAGCTCAGAGCTGTGTTGTCGTGCAGCTAAATAGCCCCTCCATAGCTTTCCCCTCCATCATCACATTACCAGTTACTGTTCTCACAACTTTACACTGCAATCCTCCCTCTTCTCACACATACACACAAATTAATCTCCATACGATACCACACTTAATAGCCACATCTACGACACAATGGCCCGCGGAAACTCCCCCCAGACCCAAGTCTTCTACAAGGGCAGCACAGGCGACCTATTCACCATCTTTGTCGAGAGCGTAGAGGCGCTGCAGAAGTGGAAGGCTGACAGCAGCATTCCTATGGTTGAGGTTGTTGCTGGGTGGAAGGTCATGGTACCCGAGTAAGTTTGTCACAACAACGTCCGAGCCGTTCGCCAACGGAGAGAGAGAGAGAGAAATGTGTTTTCTGGGCGCCTCAAATGGGGAAGAGAACGTTTATTTGCTAACGCATGAGAAACAGACACGGCAAGCAGGGTGTGCTCAACACGGCTTCCAAGCAGCAGCTAGAGAATGAGTTTGGTGCTGGCGCAAAGGAGGATGACATCTTCAAGAAGATCCTTCAGGAGGGTGAGGTTCAGTCGAGCGAGGTATGTAACTTCCTGTTTCCGACACCATCGCATTCTCGAAAACATGGTCGCTGACTAGCCCGTCTTTTAAAAACAGAACTCTGAGCGCATCGGCATCACCAACGAGACTCAGGGCGGACGTCAAGCCCACTAGACGCCTCGATCATGTCTACAGCGTGACGATGAGCGAACGATCTTAGTCTTTCTTATGACTTTCGATATGATATCATGACTTGGAAGGGGGTGGATGGGGTTTAGCTAGTGAGCGAGAGCTGCTGGCTTGCAAGGAGGGATTGGGATGACACCTTTTCCTGCATCCTGCATGGTTGATAGGCATCTACAATGGAATGGAATGTCTACAATGAATTTGTGTCTGGCTGCGATGGTGATGTGTGTGGATTGTGACTGCCTCTGCCTGTCGTTTTGGGACGTTTATAGCGATCGACGGTCCAAGGCTTGACACGCGAAAGAAGTAGACGAATTGCCTTCGTCGATGAGAAGGAAAGTGAAAATCTGGAGACACAGGTGATGAGTATGTGAAGAGCTCTCTACACGCTGATAAGCATGGTTTGTCGTGGCTACATAAACGAGATCTTTAGACCGCCTCGTCCTTTTAATCCGCAGGGATAATATCCCTCTGAATCTAACCGCCCTCGGGTTCGCGATCTTACAAGTTCAATCCAGAACGCTAGCGGAAGACGGATAGTACAGGATCCAGGTTTGTCGTATACCACCTTGAGGTCATCAGGCCAGTGTTGAGTTTGGAAATTCAATCTCTTTTCGCGTATTTCAGCGCTGTCCGGGATGGTGTTGGACGAGCCTGGTAGATGAAAGAAGTCGAACCCGTTGCTACTAGAGCTCACACATAAGGCCAGGTACCAATCGCCGTCCCATCCATACTTTCTACAGATCCGGCCGGTCGGAATGAGATACACTGCCGTGTAGGAACTCAGGCAGACATATCCATCGGTCGATTCATCGAATCTAAAGTGGTCAAAGGTATATAAGGTACCTCTGGGGTGTCCAAAGAAGACGTGATTCCCCCTTCGTTGAACGTTGTGTGTCCGCACTTCTGCGTAACGTGATCGCAAGAACGTAAAGCTTGACATTGGCCGATCGATTTTCCACCATGTGTCAGGTCCGTGTAACAATGTGCGGCTTACAATGTCCAAAGAGCAAAGGCAGAAGGTGCAGGTATAGCATATTCTCCACAATATTTCTTCAACGGATGCTTCGTAATCGACTTCCAGATCTGAGCCTTGCCCACATAGAGCTAACAGGGAAAACACACGATCGTGTGGAATCGCGCACTCCTGCATACGAAATTCCTCAAGAAGATGTACAAGTCTCCTGCCGTGGAAATAATTCGGGCTTACGTCCTGAAGTTGCAGCAACCGTATGAGATGTCTGGAATCATCGGTAGGCCCGAGAAGTGGATGGAGATGGTTCATCGGAAGCATTGTTCCATCCGCCATTAGAGTGTGTCGACGCGCAAGAACGACTTCTTGGGTAACCCATGCCCGGGTCCAGTATTCGTGGGCAAACAAGATTCCTACGTCCGTATCTAGTTCGTATCCTTCTATCCAGTTTCGTCGGTAATGCAACTCGACGTTTCGCCGGTAATGCGACTCGACGTTTCGCAACACGTTGGCCATATCAGGGCTTGATCCCAGCCATGAAATAACTCTGCTCGCCCGCGAGTATATGCTCCCCATCTGTTGCACCTGATGCGTTCTCTCTGCAAGATTTTCCTGATCAATACACAACGCATCAATCCATAGCCATCCGAGGTCTTTCTTTCTAGCCTGCTGCAGAAATCTGTATAGATTTATCCGAACGCGATGCGGTCGCCCATTAATAATTACTGTATAGCCTTTGTCAGGCTGGCCCCATACGTAGGATAAGCAGACGTAGTCATCATTGACTGTCGCATCGCGTAATGTGCATTCAATGTGTCCGCTTTCAGACCGGTCCGGGTGGAGCAAAAGTAGACGAATAGAGCGCTGGGAGAGATCGAGTGATGTGTAGCTAAATGTTTTAGCCTTGTGATCGCCGTCGCAAGCCGATAAGCTCATGTTTCTGTCAGGGCCGGAGTATAGTCGTCTGCTTCAAGATTTTAAAGTACTTTTCCATAGGGACAAGAATCGTATTTAGAATGCTAGAAGAGTTGAGATGACAGACAAATGTGCTATTTGGCGGCCTAGAACCAAGGCGCCAATCAGGTCCAACCCGAAATGTGGACAAACAACGTAAATCGCACAAGGCCGACCAATGAGGCTGCACATGGACTACAGAATATGTGCACTCGGATTTTGCTCGAAGTCAAAACACCAGCGGTGCAGGGAAGCGTTGTAGGAATCTGTGCGCCGGGCAAGGTGCAAGGCTGCGATGACAGGGATATATGATGGTTACTGCCGAGGAACTACGAGGATACTAGGGGGCTATGCGACCGTTGATCCACTAACAATCTGCCAGCTCCAACCCCTCGAATCAGACCTGCTCCAAGTGCGAAACGCCTGACGGCAAGCATTGGAAGTTCTTCAGAATACCATTCGGTATGACAATAATTGTGCAGCGGGCGTTTCACTGGATTATTAAATGTGTCAGCCAAAGTTCCATAGCACCTAGGTGAATGACATCAAGCTATAGCATGGAGCAGTGCATCATAGTGTGTACGTCACATGATTGATAGTTGCGCAGTTCATCCCTACCTCCTCATGTAGTCTGTGATGAAAATTATCCTCGATCTCAACCAAACCATATTATTGTAACCTATCATTGTTCATTTCTTCGGTCTGGATAAGCGCATATCATCGGCTATGCATACCAAGACTTTGATCTGAAATTTGTCCATACCTATCTACATTTCGTCCTCAGAATCATTTCGGTCTTGAGCGAATGTAGAAAATGGGCTGAAATAGGCCTTGCAGAGCCATCGGTCGTATTCCGGATGCGTTGCTGGGCTAGTTTTTGTTTTTCGTCTTACTTTCATACGAAGGATCCAACGAACACCCTAAACAAACGGAACTAGTAGCCCGGACAAAGGGCGCATACTGCATACCGTATTTTTTTTTTAGTTTTTTCCACTACACCACATCGACACATGCACGCTGCGGGAAAGGGCCGACCCATACTTAGGGCCAAGTCGCGATTGTGCCGAGATCGGTAGAAGATGGATGGAAGGCGCATATCGAACTCAGGTGACATTTTCCTGGCTCGGCGAGGTCAGGTATGCTTTCCCTCGCGAGTTCTGGAACATTTCCACTCGAAAGGACAAGCGTAACGCACTGAGTAACAACGCAATCACTTGTGTTGTCTCGCCTTCGGCATCTTAGTCTTTGGTTCATTTCCGTCTTTCTGCGAGTTTGATAGATTGCATGATCCTAAGACTTGTCTAGGCGAGAGGCTGGTAGATGTACCTGGCCGATCTTCATGTTATTTAGTGCAACACACTAGGCCTCCTAGAATCACATGTCTATCCGTCTATCACGGAGCATGCGACGGTATTCTTCGCGAATGGTGTAGACGCATGTCTATCTGCAGGCAAAGTGCAACCCACCTGGCAGCAATCGTCAACCCCATCCTAGGCACTATAATTCTAGTTGCTGCAAAAGTGGTCACGTCTTGTATTTACAACTCGTCTTATGCATTATATATCTTTGCTTTTGTTTTTTCTCGTGACGCACAAAGCTTCTCACCGTCACTGCTGTGTAACACAATACCACGTTGACAGCTTAGTTCAGATCTCCTCCTTACAATTGTTTCCTAGCGTTGGAGGGAAAAGCAACGGATGCTCCACTGTGGTGTAGTTGCGAACGACACCCATTCGTAGGTTCTCTACCGATGAACTTCAACAACACTTATCAGGCTGCGTAACAGGTGCATGCATGCTGAGATTTCCTGGAAGACATGGATGCCTCTCGTGCTCACTCTTGGAACACGAGACACTATAAAGCATCTGGTTTTGGCTGCTTTCAGTAAGTATCAGCCTTCAGTCAATCACTTCAACTCTCAAGTACGACTTCTCAAGTACTCTTTGACAATTCTGCCACTGTCGTCACACTACCACGACTACAATGCCGAACGAAACCCGCGATTTTGGTGACCTGAGGGTGACGCTTACCAAAGAATTCGACTGGAAGTATAGTGATACTGAGACGGGCGCTAAGAGGGACGGAAGTTTCTTTCATGCGAAGTCTCAGGGCGACTTGCGTCCCTTGGGTTCCTTTATTACTCCAAACTACCAGGATCAGAACAACAAAAGAGCGACGCTTTTGGTTGGCAATGCTCCCAACGGTTCTGGAAGACCAGCTGTTGCTAGTCCCACTGGTTATTCGAGGATTTGGGAAGACCGCGGTAGTGGAGGTAAACATGACGGCTCAATCTGGAAGCCCACTGCGCCCTCTGGTTACGTCGCACTGGGAGATGTCTGCGTTGGTAATTACAATTCTCCAAGCACCACGGCAATATGGTGCGTTCGATCGGACCTTGTCTTGCAATCCGACTTCGGTGCGGACAGCGTCTGGAGTGATAGTTACTCTGGAGCCAAGATGGATGTCTCCGTTTGGCCAATTGTCAAACCCCAAATGAGCGTGGACGGGTCCGATAAGATTCCAGTTCTTACTGATCTGTTCATTGCCAACTCGGCATACAGCAAGCCTGAATACAGCCGTGCCAAAGTCCTCGGACTGCCCGTTCCGAAGGACTTCAAACGCTTCAGCGCAGACCTACCAGTATTCACCAAGGATAAGATTCCTCGTGAAGGAGACGTGTTTGATGAGCTAGCGCAGTGTGCAGTCACATTGCCCTTTACCGCCTTCTTCTCTCCAACGGATAATGCGTGTCTAAATCTGATATCCCATCCGTTCATCACGCTCCAAAGACGCACTGCATGGTACGTTGAAGACGTGGCCAGGAACGCTGCCGACCAATCTGGAACCCACTCGACAAAGATAACCAAGGGCGTCTCCGCAACACAGTCGCAAGAGATGACGCACTCGGCTGGTGTGTCGATCACATCCTCCTTTGGAATCAAGGCTATTGGCGGAGGCGTAGACGTCACCCTCAACTACCAATTCACGGCGTCGCAATCCTATTCATCGAGTGAATACCAAGAGACTGAGAAAACACATACCTTCAACATTGGACCTCAAACGGTTCTCGTCCTTCTCACAGACCGTGTATGGATACAAGCTACCCGCAGTGATGGCTCTGCGACTCTACATCGAATTGGGTACAACGCTACCGACGACCTGAGTAGGACTGAGATCAAGCTTAAGTAGATGGAGCTTGCTACTGCCATTTTCCAGTTGCTTGTGCTATTTTGTGCTGTATGCCAACTGTACGATTCGTTCGCTTAGTATCTGCTCATATTGACCTTCACTGTATGCTAGCTATACAATCCATTCATTTAGTATCTGCAACTTTAAGGTCACTCTTATTGGATCATCTTGGTCGTAAACCCCGCACTCCTTGGACGTTCCACTTGCACGCTTCATCATCTAAGGCTCAATTAGTGCCACCCACCATTTCGCTCTAGTGGCCGTGGACTCGGTATTCCTATTTTCCCTTCCTATGAACCTCGCGCCGTAACACGCCACAGCACACAGATGATGTGCTTGCTGAAGGCCCTACTAAAAATATTAACATGCGTGCGACTGTCGAGTATTACAGATGGAATTCAAGCTTCCTCGTCGTGGTTTTTGGGAAGCAGCAGGTGGCTTGGCATCATTCGGTGCTTGGTATTGGGAAAAACAAGCAATGTCGTAGATTGTTTTCTGAGTTGTTAAGTTTCCCGATCGTCTTCAAGGGCATTGCTATGAGTAGTGCACAAGATCGAAGGTGGTGGAATCGAGGGTGGCGTGTGGTCTGAGCCATGTATCAAGAAGACGACGAGCGATATCTCGTGAACGCACATAGGACTCGTCTCACAAACACGAAGTGTCAAGAGTCTACGGAGGCGATGGCCCGGCCCTTGTCAAGCCCTAAGTTTTCTTTTTTTGAGTGACATTTGTGGACATGCAGTGATAATGATGGGAAGATGGAGGTCGCGAGACTGGTTTCCATGTCAAGAAATGCTGATTAGGAATTGAGTGTTTTTGTTAATGCTTCGTGTCTTGTTCTGGTGTTCGCGCTCGAATTCCGATAGGATTCTTGTCGCGTAAATTCTGGTAAGGGCCCGTGGAGGGATTAGCTGCTCGGTTGTTCAGGAACGGCGGCCAGACATGTCTTTCGTAGACTCGACGTTCTGATAATCTAGTGGTGGTGATGATTAGTATACATAAAATTACGGTAATATGTTTAAACAATCGCGATACAACAGAGCTCAAGAGATCGGAGGGCCTATTCGAATGGAGGAGAAGAATTGATAGCTTGAGTTCTTGCGCCTGTCTAGGCAAGCGTGTCAGCATTCGCATTCGATTCCGCGGTTTACTTTGTGGGTATAACGAGGCACTTGTTTGTAGTTCGAGCAGAAAAATCCATGGTGCTCGCGGCACCTGACGAACAGCGTAGATGCGGTTTCCAATAAATCAATGTAGATTGCCACAAGTGCCTAGCGTAGCAACACAGGGAAGAATCATGTCCATATTCGACCGAATACGGGAGGCGAGGGTCTTGGTGGAGTTGCGCGGCGAAGCTGCGAGCCTAAAGACTCGCCTAGTGGAAGTCTAAGCAGTAGGAAAGGACCGATGGAAAGATGGAGTTGTACCGAGGTTGAGCCTAAGAGTACTTTTTGACACTCAGCGATTCTTCAGATGGCAAAATGAAAAAGGTTTACATGTACTGCTGTAGAAGCTGTCAGGCGCAGGGCACAGCCGCTCGTGCAGGATGTTGCGCAGTGGTACAAACGCCTTGCAACGACACAAACACGAGCTCGCGATAGCAGTGCAACCCCCTGGAATCACCGGATTACGATAGTTTGCAAGGCCCAGTAGATCGACAACGACCTGCATATCACCATGAAGCCAATGGTGAAGCACCGGAGATTCCGATGCAAAGTACCTAGCCGTGAATACGAAGTTGCGTAGAAGCTGTAGAAGCTGTGCTAAAAAGTGTGGGTGTACGAAGTCACAGTCCTGACGCAGGGCAAGGCGACGGCGTGCGAGGCTGAGAGACCATTTTGGCGGCGGGCCACAATTAGAATTCTTCCCAAGCTTCTCCCGGCCTTGTTCGCTTGCAACCTCGATACCTTTCCCCGTACGCCGACGACGTCATTTGCGTCGCTCAAACTCCGCGACGCTCTGTCTCGCCGTGACACGAAGCCGTCATTACCGATGGGCGATCCCTGCATGCATCGCTGGCATGAAGGCGAAGGTCGAAGTGCAGTACGAGATAGGAGCCGCGGAGTGAGTGGTGGTTCAAGGTGCGACACGCTGAAGCGAGACATGGCAATTGGTACAGATACGCATGCTACGTACGACACACGTTAATATAAGAGACGGATAACCACATGGATGGGTGCAAGACAGCTGCCAGGTGTAGCGCACTGCTGCCGCGAAAAGCCGGTTTTCTTTCTCTCGAATCATGCCCTTCAACTCGCCCGCGACTGGGGCGTCGATCGCTCGTATCGGCGGCATGTCACTTGAGCGCAGTAACAGTAAAGTGCTTGCTCTGCGCCTCCAGCAGCTTCAAAGTGGTTCGCATTCCGGGCTGTATTAAAGGTCGACTGCGTTAGTTTCAGGTATGCGTGGCTTCGCTAAAGCCACAGTGCGCGACAATGGATCGGCGTGGTTGCGGGTTGGTACCACCTTTCATCGCAACCCTGAGGAGCGATACGGGGACCCGCTTTGGAACTAGCGCAAGGGACCGCTATATCCGATGACCTCACCGTGACCTGCCACTCACTCGGTAACTAGACGAACGAATTGCGAGCAACCGAGGGGCGTATGCGTTGTGGAGAAAGAAGTTTAATTGGACGAATGGGGTAAAGTTTGCTTTTTTGCGGTTGGGTGCTCGTTCGGTGTATATCCAGGATGAGAGTGACAGGGCTTGGATGGCGTGCAAATGGCGTCCGCACAGAGTCGTGTGTGCGATCATTGTGCAGTCGCCTTTCTGTTCCTTGTCTTTGATCTCCAGCTGCTGGCCGTCTCCGTGACCTTGTCCTTTCTTGCACTCTCACTTCACTTACCCTTACTCTGAGCGAGCTCCACTTGACATCTGAAATCACAACGTCGACCCAGTGCGAGGATCGATTGAGGCGTCAAAGCACCGCTCTTTTCACCGAGCAAGGGATCCATTCTGGACAAAAGCGCATCATGCCTACACTCGTGTGGTTGCGCGCTGCTGCCGTCGCTGCTCTTGCGGCTCATGCTACTGCCCAGCAATGCTGTAGGTATCCCGTGTATTGTCGACGAACAACAGCTGACCGAACAGACTACCCCAATGGCAACAAAGCCCCAGACACAGAGAAGCCCTGCTCAACAGCAGAGGGCTCTGCTTGCTGTCCGGATAGCTGGGAGTGCCTCGACAATGGTCTCTGCCACTATCCCGCTAACAACCTGTACGGCCGATATAGCTGTACAGACAAGACTTGGAAGTCGGAAGGATGTGCTTCGAACATGTGCACCTACGGTAGGAATGCTGACTTGTTAAACTGAACACGACTGACGTACAACAGGCATGACAGTCGGTGGTGGCGAGTCGATAAAGCAGTGCGCCGATCACGACGACCAGTGGTGCTGCAACGCAGACGACACAAACGTAAAATGCTGCCAGGAATCACCGTCACCACGACCTTTTTTCGCGCTGCAAAACGGAAATGCCTACGCGACGATTGGCTCGAATCAAGCGTCGACTAACCCCAACATTGCTACCATTACTGGCCTGGCGACAAGTGGTGGATCATCAGGAGGTGGAAACTCGGCATCACAAACGTCAGCGCAGCGGTCTTCAGCTGCTCCTTCTACAACCGACGATTCAAATTCGGGAACTGCAACACCAGACTCGGTCACTACTACGCCTACACCTTTTAGCTCCGTTGCGACGAGCCTTTCCACAGGCAGTGCGGGAGTAGTCACCATTGAAAACACCGTTCTCGTTACCCCGACTGCAACCGCCGGCTCAAGCAACGACAATGCCAATGGAGACTCTGACAGCGGATCGAGCTCGAACCTAGGTCTTATCATCGGATGCGCAGTCGGCATTCCCCTCGCACTCGCTCTCCTCGGTATAATCTTCTGGCTCCTCCGCAAGCGTCGCCAACAAGCCGCCAACCCCTACAAAGAAGCTTCGGAAATTGAAGGAGACAGCCCGCTCGTCGGCGGTGCCGCGGCAGCAAAACTCAGCAAGAAAGAAACATACCGAAACTCGCGACCCGCCACGGCAGAGATTGACGGTAACCCCGTTGGAGCCGGACAGCCAAATCGCATCTCTGAACTTCCTTCCGGAAATGGTTTCCAACCGGGACAGGGCGCTCCCTACGGACCTGATGCTGTTGGGATTGGTGGTGGTAATGGGAACAGGAACACATGGGATAGCCAACCACCTCAGTACTCGCCTGCACAAGCCGCCTTCAGCCACCCCGATGCTGCGGAACTGCCTGATAATAGTGTCCATCCTGTTCTTAATGAGAAAGGGCAGCCGTACCAACCGTATAGGCCTCCACAGCCTGTGGCTGAGCTGCCGTCTGTTACAACGCCACCTGAGGATCTGGAGAAGCAGATGCCGAAGCGGTAGAGGGGGGGTTGTTCACTTTTCCTGGCAGGCGTTTTCTTTGGGAGGGCATTAACATATATATGACGAGGCTACTGCAGCTTTTTTCTTTTCTTTTTTTCAAAGCATAGGGAAGATACCATGCACGAGAAATTTGTGTATAATGATGGGGGTAGCGATACCTTCAAATCCAGATTCAGATTCAGATCAGCATGATACTGTTCTAATTTTGAAATACAGAATCCATGTAACTGCATGGACGTCTCTAGCAACTTATGACGACTAGTTTAAATCAAAGGTTTATACTCATTTTACTTGGACATGGACATCAGCCCTCTCCAGAAAATGCCGAGTGCGAATGGGGGAAGGCGGTGTGTGGGGGAAAAAGGGCAGCGAGTCATGTCCGTCGGCGGCATGTCGTCAGCCCTCGAGCCCTTGAGCCCTTGAACCCGGAGAAGGCTATGGGGGACTCGAAGATGTCCAAGATAACGCGTGTCGCAACCATCATTGTCACCCACACGTAGCATGAGAGCACCCGTTCGTTTCTTCCTTGTTTTTTCACCATGATCCACCTGCCCGACGAGCTCATCCTCCTCATAATCTCTTATCTCGAACCCGCCGAGCTCGTCAACCTCCAACATGTCTCCCGCGCCTTCCTATCCCTCTCGCGCGACAACAACCTCTGGAAGTCTCTCTGCTTCTCCCATTCTGCCGCCGAGCGCCGTCGCCGCCGCCTCGACATCACGCCTCCCGACATCGACCCCCGTCTCGCTGAGCTCATACGCGCCGCCGATACTCTCTCCAACACATTCGATACCTCGGTGCACGACACAGATGCGCCGAGTGCCGACGTACAGCAGCAGAGGAACGCAGGCAGGAGACGCCAGGCGCTGATAGCCAACTGGGATCCTAGTTATCCTGACGAGAAGGTGAATTGGTACGACGACTTCATTCAGAGGCATGCCGAGCCGAGCCTGAGTTGGTTTCAAGATGCCGGGACCGAGGGGAGAGAGTACGGGGACGGGAGGAGGGAGGCTACGGGCGCGGGTGTCTTGTTCGATCAGCATGGCCTGGCGGATAAGCTTGTCGCGCCGCTAGACGACGGCCGGATATGTATCTGGGACGCCTCTGCTGCCAGCGACCGCCAGGGAACCATGATTGCCAAGTCTGATATCGGGTTACTGGCGAACCGGGGAAGCGACTTGGACTACGACACGAGACTTGCGCAGAGCCACGCCGTCATGACGGAAACGGGTGCGGTAGAATGCGTGAGCATAGACAGCAAGTTGGCCAAAGGCTTCTTCGCTGTCAAGAACGAGCTCGTTGAGACGGATCTGAACACGCTTCAAGTTGTCTCGCGCACGCCGTATCCGTTTCCCGTTACCGCGCTGAGCGAAGCACATCACAGCACGCCCTTGACGATTGGAACAAACTGGACGCTGCATCTGCACGATAGTCGGAAACCGCCTGCACCACCCTCTTCTTCGGTGCGCTGCGAGCTCATTAGCGGCCCCGCAGATAACGACTTCTCGCGCCTCGATACCGGGGACCTGCACGGCCATGTCAGCCTCTCCCAGCCCGGCGCGCTGTCTATCCTCCATCTGCCCACGACGCGCGAGTGGGACGGCAACGGCGACATCTGGGTCGCTGGCCGCTTCACCTCGATGCTAAACTTTGATCGGAGATACTTCCCCCGTCTTCGCGGTACTGTGCACTCGGGCGCTCGTCTGTCCTGCCTTGCTGCCCTCCCTCACCCTTTTGTGCCGCATCATCTGCGTCTCGGCACCCCTTACGCCAATCCGTCTCTCCTCCACGACGTCAAATCTACAAGGGGGTTTACCTTGATCGCAGCGGGCGAGTACAAGGGTAAAGGCAGTCTGGAGCTGTACGGCCTATCTGGCGAACCCGAGAGGAGTATTAACTCGAGCGATAGCCGCACGACAACATCTGGGCGTGGCGGTGGTCGCTCAAAAGCATACTATCAGAACCGGCAGACGGCTAGTAGCTCCAAACTCCTGTCTGTGGCGCCACATGGGACTCGTCTGGTTTTTGCAGATGGAAATGGAGGGTTGAAGTGGGTGGAGAGGGATGGCTCGACGCCTGTGAGGCAGCTCAACATCAACGATTTTCAACGACGGTCAAAGGATGGTTCTGCTTCTACTCTGGAACAGCAGCATGATCATGGTAACCTTGTAAACGCGACGCCAGATTCAGAGGCCAGCTGGGGCGACATTGTCCAGAAGATTCTTCCTACTACTACTACTACAACAACATCATCGCAATACGCACCAGAGTCTACCGAGTCGTTCTCTTGCCTAGGCCTGAATAACCTGGTGCTATGGACGGGGGATGGAAGGTTGGGGCTTTTGGGCTTTGGCAAGGAGCCGCCCATGGCGAGGGATGTTTTTGAGGATGCGTTGGAAGTACAGGGAGGGAGTATGGAGGGGGGACACCAAGGGGACAAGGTTAGGGAGAGGCAGTACGACGTGGAGATGAGGAGGGCGTTGGAGCAGCAGGCTAGGGAGTTGAGGTGGTTGAGGGGATATGGGCTCTAAGAGAGACGGGTTGGGTTGGGTTTTGGTGGCTTTGTGGGCGCTAGGCGGTGTGGAAGATGAGTTGAGTATGTAGTGTCATGCGAGATGTACGAAACACCTATCCTGATAACGTTTTCTTACAGGAAATGCCGAGTTAATTCTTAAAGGTCAACTGATACTCAGGGTAATCCGTAGCCGGCCATGTAAGATCGCAATCAAGTACAATGGCTCTGGAGGCGTATTTCCAGGCAAACGTTACATGTCCTACATAGTTTTTGCATTGATTTTAACGTCGATGCCAATTTACCACTACGTCTCCCCTATCCTAGCAGTCGGCTCTCTGTGACCTAGCTGTAGTAGCATGATCAATGTAAGACGGTGTACCTTACTTTTTTCGCTCGAAAAAAAAGAGTATAAAACATGTTCTAGCTTCACCAAGCTCGTTCGTCTCTTACGTCATCAGTTCACTCTGCCAGAAGAAGCCCTAGCTCCATCATTGGAGTTCTTTTTGCGGTGGTCGATGCGAAGTTTGAGAATTCCAGGAATCGCAGGAGCTCAAGATTGTACTCGAGTTTGAGTCGGGAGAAATGACCGCTTTGGAAGGTCCGCGAATCAGCGCAGTGCCCCTTGCACTGAGAGATGAGTGAAAAGTCTAGTGAGAGAATAAAGCGACATCGAAAGACTAAAAGGGACTAAAGTTAACATTTGCCGCGACTCATATTAGTACAGCACTGTCGGCGAGTACGTCGTGGGTACAAGAATGATCTATATGGGCAATGGAATATTGCGGCCTGTGTATTGTAAGTGTCATCTCCCAATTGATAGTTGAATATGTAAAGTGATTAGACGCATAGTGAGATATTGTTATACAAAACTTTAAACGTCTGTCAAGCATATCAGCTAACTGCTAACTGGAGTACATTGCAGCACATGCGGCCAGCGAACACAAATCCATGTCAACACGCAGTGGCCACACATACATATCTCACAGCGTCTCTTAACGTTCGACGTCAGACACATCTCGGAAAAAAATCAATCCTTCTTCACGCTTTCATCCTTAGAGTCGCTCTTCTTCTCTTCCTCTTTATCGCCGGAGCCGCTGCCACTACCCTTGTAATGACTACCTTCTTTTCCCGGCTCGAAGACCGTGTTACCTGGCACTAATTCAGAATGGATAACCTCCAACGTCAAGTGCACAAGACATACAGGAAGCGCAATGCGCCCAAGCACCGTCTTTCGTCAAGTCAGCCCCTGCGTCACACTCTGGACATTGAACCATGGCAAATCCTTCGGGACGAATTTCGGTGGATGGAGAACGATGAAATGTAGGATGTGGTTTATAATCGATGTTCGGGTTGCCATGTTGCGATAGAGTTTCAATGCAAAGTTGTGTAGTCGCGCTAGAGTGAGGGGCATGATGTCATAGACCAATAGCATCTCGCGGAGCCTCTTCATACACATCGGACACCAAGCCGGTAAATCCTTCTTGAGAGTTGAAGTTCGCAGAAGAAGGCCCGAAGTTGGGCTCACATTCTTCCATCTGTAATCTCTCGTGCAGTGGTTGAGCTGGCGCGTTGCAGACAATACGTAGCGTGAACGCCAACGACCCTGCAGCATGCAACAAGTATGGCGCAGATAGGACTCTTAGTCTTACAATGCAGAACTTGTGGATGCTACCAGACTTTGAATCCTGCGTTTGCGCCAAAAGGTTTGTCCCAAACCATTGACACGAGTCAATCAAGTACTCTCGTGATCCGCTCTCTTCCGCCCGTCGCTCCGTTCACTCTTTCAGCCTCCTGCAGCCCCAATAACCAGCATCCTTTTGTCTTGCGCAATACAATCACCCCACCACCGTTGACTCGCACCTGAACTCTCCATCCTCATGGATGCTATCACGACTCAGACTGCTAGAAGCCACCAATAATCGCGCTCAGCCGCAAATCCTCAGATCATACCATGGGCGCGCGCGGACACGGTAAGCACGTACTGCCGCTGGACCAGGGTAAGACGGTACTGCTTCTTCAACCGATTGGTCGGAAATGCGAAGCGAAGTGAACAGTTGAGTGGCAAATTTCTCGTTACGAGATGTGCATCCTTCTTACAGCTGCAATATATGCACACAACAGTCGGCTGTAGCCTGTGGAAAATGCTGCATCTTCGCCTTTTATTTTTGCCTACTCATCTGGTCCCTGGAGTCGTTACGACATGTCAGAATCCGGGGTAAGGCTTTGTAACATTTGCCGTTGACGTGCATCCAGAGCATAAACCTGCTCGTTGAGCTATGAATCCAGGGGGCAGTTCCGCCTGGCGAAACAAAGCCATTGCTTCAGCTGCTCCGGGTTCGTGAATCATGCCCCGCGGGCGGACTAGACTACCCGCTTGCAGTAGCCTCACTGACACCCAGCCGAGCGAGCCTCTAGACCAAAGACAGCCTAACACTCGCGTGGAAAACGGCTCGTCCGTAACTGCACTTGGAAATGGATGCCCGAGAGGCTATTTGCGCGTCAAAGCAACGGTTCTTCCCCCACTGAATCTGCATTGCGCAAGCTCGTCTCCGCGCCAAAGGATCCAAGGTTTGAACTTTGAACCTGATGTACCTGCAGGTGGTAAATGTCACCTTCAAAAGGGCATACGGCCGGACGCCTCATCAGTCCATGGCCTGCCTGTCAGATAGCGGGATGTGCGACGCGTGCAGCCTCCCGTATATAGCGTCGATGGGCCGGATTCCGAGGTGATAAAAAATTGAGTTTCTTCATTGACCCAGGCACAGTGCGTCAAGACTCTCTCTCTCTCTCTTTCTTCTTCCCGTTCCATTTCTCGTTTCGTTAATCCGCGGAGTGCAACTACAGTTTAATCGACGGGTGTGTTGTTCTAGTACCCATACGCCTTGCGAGGAATCCCTGAGTAATTCTGCAAAGCCCATGACAACTAGACGCACATAGTGTGTAAGACGGTTACGATACCCCGGACGCCTACATACAGTACCTTTCTTCCCGCCTCGAGTTGACGACCAACTACACGCCACAATGTCCAGCTCCATGGCCGCGCCGCCTTACTCCAACAAAGCTGCCATTTACCTTGGACCCGTTATTTCCTTTGGAGTCGTCGCACTTTTCCTGGTCATTGCGCGTATCTATACACGCGTAAAGAGGACAGGACAGCTGTATCTCGATGATTGGATCATCGTGGTCGCGGAGCCAATGTCGTTGGTCGGCATATGTTTGGCCATCGCGTCGACCGCATACGGATGGGGTAAACCAGCAGCATTCTTCACACCCGAGGCGCTCAAGCAGACACTAAGGGTCCAATTCGCGCTCCAGACCGTGTGGCTCCTGACGCTATGGCTCGTTCGACTGTCTGTCGCGTGCTCGCTACTGCGTTTTGGAACCGAAAGACTATGGCGATGGCCATTGTACTTCATCATGGGTCTCCAGACGGTCATCTCCTGGGGCTACTTTGTGATTCAGTTTGCACAGTGCACACCCGTCAGCTCCAACTGGGATACTGGTATCTCTTCCAAATGTTGGAACCTGGATCCCATCATCCTCTTGGGATGGGTTATAGCTGGTAGGAAGTCCATTTATGCCACCGTCAACGGGCCCGATTAACCGTTCTGTTAGGTGTTTACATCGCTATGGATCTTACGCTTTCTCTCATGCCAATCCGCTTGATCCGTACCTTGAACCGCTCCCAATCGGAGAAGATGCTCATCTGTGTCCTAATGGCCCTCGGTCTTCTCGCGACTGCAATTAACTGCGCTAAGATGACAACGTTCACGTCTTTTGGTCAAGGCGACGTGATGCAGGCTACCATCGTGCCTTCAATGTGGGCCAAGCTAGAAGAAGAGATTGGCATTATTGCTTCGTCGCTTCCTTGGCTCAAGAGCCCGGCTGAGAATTGGTTGAAGAAGATGGGCATATTGAAAGAGCATCAGCTTACCAAACCGAGCTTTGTGGCTGATATGAGCTTGCCGAACGTCAAGGACAACGTCGAGGATATGAATAATAATGATGATGACGATGATGCGGACAGTGCGAAAGTAAAGGGAAATGTTAGAGTGGATTCAGTGGCTACTGCACTCGGTACCAAAGGCTCCAACTCAACCTTGCCAAAAGATCCAAACAGCCATACCTGGCAGGCTGTCTGATCGCAACGACGTTTACGATTTCCATCTCGAATGCATGCCGAATACCTGGGCTTTAGCGTGGCGTTGTGGCGTTGTTGAAGGGTCGTTTTATCAACTCTACGGATTTGACGAACATGCACGGGCATAGACAGCCTCTTTGCATTATACGACGGTGTACATACCCCCTAATACTACCAATCTCGAACCGAACAATGACTTTCGCACGTGTGAAGCGTAAGAGTTGGTGATGCCGCACTTCGGCGATATTCGTGCGAAGCTCTGCGGAAACTCGGCTTGTTAGGTAAGGAAAACTTTTAGCGTAACTCACTCTCCGCATCTTGCAAATCATCGGCAGCACCTTGCAAAAGCTTCCATTTGCGCGATCGCTAAGCAATCTCTGCGTCCTCTCCTTCATGTGAAGCTTTTGGTCTTGAGGCAGATGACGGTAGAGGTGCGTCAAGTTCATCTCAGGCTTGTCTGTGCATCAACGTATACAGGAACTATATCGGAATCAGCAAAGTCTTCAAATTTCGACGAGATGCCGCGGTCATTAGTAGCACTAAATCGGCACGCGCCATCAGTCCGGGGTGCATGATCCAAGCTCGATCTGTAATAGTAGTGACGTCCCACCGGTCGTTATTCCCTACTCTAGGTTTGAAGTCCATGCTCTCTCATCAAGCTTTCTCCTCCTCCACATCTTCGTTTCTTAACACTACGACCGTTACCACGTCCTGAATCTGAGGAGCACCTGTCATCGACGACACTGTTTCGACTTGTACTCCTCTCTCGAGTGTCTATCGTAGTTGCTGGCGCTTGTGTATGTGCTAGGCATCTTCCGCCTTCACAATGCCGATATGGGATCCTCTTGTTCCCGTTGAGCGCGGTATACAGCGTGGGCTCGCACGTCTTCCAGTACCCGTCAGCCACTGGCTTGGCTATCGACACAAGACAGAACCACCCTCTCGCACATGGGTTGTTTGTCTCTGGGGGTTCATAGGCGCCTTTTGTGGGCTTAGCGTCATTCTCGCCATCTTCGGTCATACGGATTACATGAGGAGTCGCGCTGTACCACCGATTATTGCTTCATTCGTGAGTTTCCCTTCTCCCCAATAGGTCGATTCAATCGCCAAACTAACAATCATTCAGGGCGCTTCGGCAATCCTCTGCTATGGCGCTATCGATGTGCCTTTCTCGCAACCACGCTCTCTAGTCTTTGGCCACTTCTTCAGTGGCTTGGTTGGTGTTATCGTAGCAACCATCTTCCAGTTCGACCTCGAGAAAGACCCCTATCCACGGCTGCAGTGGCTCGCAGCTGCTTTGGCGACAGCAATTGCTCTCGTTGTCATGCATCTGACCAAGACGACCCACCCACCTGCTGGAGCAACAGCACTTATGCCATGTGTTGATCAGCACATCTGGGCGCTGCGGTGGTACTTCTTGCCCGTCTTGCTATTGTCCTCGACGGTCGTGCTTGTTACGGCAGTAATGGGCAACAACATTCAGCGGCAGTATCCAAAGTTTTGGGTTGCGCAGATTCCGCCACCGCCACCAGCGCCGAAAATCGAGGAGAAGAAGATCGAAGAGAAGGAGGGGTCGTCTGATGGAAGCGTGCGAGATACACTAGGGGCTTTAGAGAGAGGACCACTTTAGTTCTCTCGGTTGTGCACCACAACGAGCGGCTCAATGGAGGTTATTGGCATGATACTAGTTAGCGAGCGATATTTGGTTAATACTGAGTGCTTTTCTGCCCATTTGGTATCAGCCCAAATTTGTGCGACAGAAAGAGCTAGCCAATAACTTTTAATCAGTACAATGCCGTTAGCGTCTGCAAAAGCGGCGCTGGGGTAACACTCAAACACCACATCGAATTTACTTCAACAGGAATCCAATATGGCTGAAATCAAGAATATTGGATACTTCATTATCCTAATGTATATCTATATGAAGCAAAATATGTAAAGGCATCCAAAACATTGTTGGCTTGCAGAACTTTTCTTCATCATTACAACCACCATCTAACCCGGACCCGATTACTCCTAGAAGCAAAACCTGTGGCCGTTACCGTCAAGTATCTCATCCATCTATGCCTGCTCTACCCACACAGTCCTGGCTACACTGGGTACACCCTCTGCGCTGACAGCAAACAGGTACCACGCTCCCGGTAGCACAACACCGGAATCGTTCATAATGGGCAAGACGACTTCTTCCCCTTCGATCCTTGGCTGAAGCGGAATGCGCCTCTGATCACTGTTCACGTTGTGCGTAACACTTCCTATCCTGATGAAAGAGAACGTCACGCCGTCAGCTGAACCTTGCATCTTGACTCTCAGCTCGCCACCGTGCGTGACGATACTCGATGCAACGTCCTGAATGATTGGACGAGGAGCACCAGTGAGAAGGTATGGCGGTGTGAAGATCTGACCGTTGGGGTGATCGACCGTGTCGCGGCAGTGGTAGGACGGTCCTCCAGTTCCATCGTCCCAGCAGAGACCTCCTCCTCCGCTGAAGACTGTGCCGTCAGGTAGCAAGATGGAAACAGAGTGGTAGTTTCGGGGAATGGATTCAGCAGCCAGCTCAGTAAATGTCTTGGTGTTAGGGTCGAACATCTCAGCAGTGAAGACGGGATCGATGTCAGTGAAGCCCTGAGCCCAGCGCTGTCCGCCAGTAACCAAGATCTTGCCGTCGGGAAGGACAACGACGTTAGCAAAGGCGCGTTGCTGGTGCATGTCTGGGATTCTCTCGGCCGTTACGGGTGCGCCGACATTGTTAATCTCCATCAAATGCGCGACGGCGAGTCCGGGCGCGCGGTCGTAGTACTGCGCTCCGCCTGCGGTGAAGATTTTGCCAACATCGTACATGACGTGAACACCACACATGGCATCGTTGACATTGTCACGAATACCTGCTGGGCTGACACCACCTTCGCCATCGGTGTAATACCAGTTCATTGCCTTGCTGGGCCCAGCCTGGAAGACGGTGCCATTGCGCCAAGGGAAGAGCCAGGCGTGGTTATCCTCGCGAAAGATGCCCTCGTGGTCATATGTCAACATCGGCTCCACAGCAGCGCCAGGTAGAAGCGTCCACGAGTTTGATGCCGGATCGTAAATTTCTCCTGGCTTTCCACCTCGTGGGCCACTCCACGATCCACCAATTGTGAAGACCTTTCCATTAGACAGGACGGCACTGCTCTGGTATCCGCGAGGTACCTTCATATCCGGTCCAGGGACGAACGTGTTGGTTTCCGGCTGGTATATAGTCGTCTTCTCAGCGTTGCTTCCTCCGGTGATGATCAGTCTTCCATCGCCTAACTGACTCATTCCAGGACAGAACATATCATGGTTGGTTTCGGAAACCTGCCGTGTGGACATTTGCCCAGATACCAGGTTGTATTCGGCGAACTGAGTGATACCTCGTTCACCTCCGAATGAATTCGGCGAGAACGCAGAGTATACCATCATACGGGTGGGAGATGGCCATTCCGGGACGATGTAGGCAGCAACCGGAATGATGGGAAAGTTGATGACCGGACCCCATGATCCTTGATTAGGAGTGAATGCTCCTCCTTGGTCCTGAGCGAATGTGACGGAGAAGAAGAATGGCAGAAGCGCAGCCGCTACCTTTGAGTGAGAAACCATTATGAATTAACTTATTAACACACACTGTAGGTGCGAGAAGATGAAGACGATAGCGACTGTGGGTGGGCGGTGCTCGTGTCAAAAGATGTCCATGGTGTGTTTGTTTTATACTTGTGTGCTGGTACGGTGGCAGGCACGTTGCTTTTCCCGCACCTCCATCTCCGAATCGCGAATCTAGAATTGTAGTCGCCAATGTTGTTGAGCACGCTCCCATTGGTAGTCGATCCCAATCAATACCGAGCCGATACCTGGTAGGGAACCTAAGAGCTACATCGCGAGCTGGGCTCATGCTCTTGGAGTAGTGCTATACTCATAACGTCACCCCGGCGACACTGCAGCCGGTCAATGGTCCACGATTAGCTCTCGGCATCTTCAGGTGTGGTTGGTCTTAGTCTGCAAGAGAATGTTGTGCACGCGTTAACGTATTCGAACGTGTCTCGTGAGGTGGTTTAGATCCATCCCTCAGGTAAGCTTTACGAGAAGAGGTTCGCGTGAGATAGGGCTGAGAAGCTGAACAGCCGCGATCCGTCTTGGTCGCACAGAGACGCGACTTGGCCTAAGCGCGGCGCACAAATAGTTTATCGATTGCTGTTGGCCGTTGCGGGGTGATACGAACATTGCATCATGATGGTATTTGTCCGATGCGGGGGACGATTATGTCAAGATCTGACGATGCGTGCGTTGGAATTTGTGCGCAAGAATGAATCTTGGGAGAAGAACTGACAGCCCGGTACGAATGACGTGCAGCACTGATAAGCTGGCGAGTCAGTGCGTAAACAAGCTCCTCGGCAACCACTTTTAGCGTGACTCAAACCACAGAACACCCTGCTCAGTCACACCGAACCATCGTGTTTTTAGTCCGCTATCGAGATCGCACGCGTGTTATTGCCTATGGATGAACAGGATACTCGTTATGATACGACGAACGCTGTCAGTCCGAGCAGAAGAAGCATACCACTTTTCCAGCCTCCGTTATCTAGGTATTCATCATGTTGCCTACACCGCTGCTTTCACTGAGGCTTCAACCATTCTGTGATCTTTGCCTTTAACGCCTCTTCTGCAGCCGGCCATCCATGCCCCAGCCTCCGGCAAAACGCATGCGCATCAACACGTCTAAACTCTGGCATATCGTGCAGCAGCGCCTCAACAACATCAATCCACTCAGCATCCTTATCCAGTGCAGCTGATACCAGTTGATACATGGGCGACTTGCGCGTGTACTTCGCGTCCGAAGACTTGCAAACTTCTTGCATAGCTTGGGCGTACAATTCTCGGTAGCGATCCAGCGACCAGGACAGATGTGGTAGCCGTGATATGTCATAGTTTGGGAGCCAGTCGCGTCGGAGAAACGTGGGCATTGAAGCATAACCAAGGCAGTGTGGCACGGCTGCGCACCCGTCCCAGTCAATTATACCAGTAACGTTGCCATTTTCGTCTACCAGGATGTTCTGGAGATCGAGATCGTCGTGCTGAAGGACGAATGTTTCGCGTATGGGTACGCCGTTGCTAACGTCTTCGCTTTGAATTGGCTTACTATGCGATGACTCTGTTGTTGCAAACGGAGCCGAGGACATCACCATTCTCATCACTATCCAAACACCAATCTTCGCCACATCGTGGGTACCAGACGATGAGCTACGCTCCGCACTATTCACCCTATCTATCCCAGCGGTGAAGAAGGCTTCGCTGGTATCGAATGACCCTTCAGATGCAAACTTATCCATGACAGTCTTTGTATGCCATCGCCAAAATGGACCAATGTAACTCGGCTGCTTATCTTTCGGGTCAGAGAAGGAAGGCATACCAGTATACTTAAACTCCAGCGGCGCAAGTTCGCTCATAGCTCGCGCAAGAGAGCGCAGGAACGCAATGCGCTTCTGTTCTAACTCCGGTAAAGGATTGTCGGCATTTAGGTGTACTTCTGTGCTGATCGTCGTTCTGTAGGGCTGACTGATCCACATGTCCATTGCAGAGATGCCGTCCATTTTCTTCATGAGAATGTATGGTGCGCCTATCGCATTTTCGAGACTCCCATCATATGCGATAACCTCTGGCACGGGACAGTTTGTGTGATGCCAGATGTGTTGCATCAGCTGAGCCTCACTCTTCAGAGCTACGTTATCGTTGATCTGCCATTCACCTCGTGTACCATGTGCAGGAATCTTAAGAACGTACTCTTGCGTGACTTGGTGACCGTCTTCGATCATCAAGAACACTGCATGGTGAAAAGATCCTTCTTTTCGTTGCATGACGCGACAGCTGCTGAAGGGAAGCTCTTCTTTCGGATCGACAAGATGAAGCACTAAGCGTTCTAGAGCGGTGCGAGATATACCCCGAATGTCTTTAAAGTGCCGACGGTCATACTTATTCCCTGATGGTTTGCCGTCGTTGCTATAAGCGTCTTCTCCAACCTGAGCAACTGTACTACGACTCCTTCTGGAAATTAGATGGGGCAGTCGGAAGTTGCAATCGACATGGGGATTTGGATCGTGTGCGGAAGATGCGCTGATATATGATGTTAATCGTCTCGAGAATACGTTTGATGTTGTCAGGGCTACCTTCGTCTCTTCTGCTGCGTTTTGGTCACCTGTATTAGCCAGTGGCAAGGATAACGAGGTAGTCGAAGGCCTCGGCGTCGTCCCGAAACGTGGACTTGGCATTCTTCTCATCCCCGTCACCGATGACCGAGCGCCTTTGTTTTTTGACGATGCCTTAGTTTCTGTCGATTTTAGGGATCTCAGAGACCACCGCTCGGGTCGCAGCAAGCTTTTCCATTTCCAAGGTTTCCTCGACACAGCCGGTGTGGCACTGGTCGAAGACATGGTATGGATGTGCGCGTAACTGTGGTTGAGCAGTTGATCGTGGTTGAGAACGCAGAAGCAGGCGAAGAATGTTCTACAAACTGTGGCCAATGTCTGTACGTCCCTAAGACAGTGGAAGACTAGCAGCAATCGAGACTCATGAATCATGATTTGGCTCGGCGGGTCACAAAGAAGAGACATGTTCGCAACCCAAGGCACGGGTATATAAACTATCGGTTACTCTTCTTTCTCATTGATAAGTACAAAAATCTTAGTGTGCGGAAAGAGAGAGCTCCTTTGTTGTGAATATCTCAGTAGTCGAAACAAGTGTATAACGATGCATAAGGATAAGAAGCACACGTAGAGGGATACAAGTGGAAAATGAGCACGAAATCATGTATATATAGGAGTGCAGAGATCCAATTGTCTTTCTCTTTTGCTTTTCCAGCTTTGTTCGCATTTGCTTAACAAACTCTCACAATAGATGGAAATATCTAGCGACGTTCGCGGCGCGCGCCGACTTGGACGCAGCTTTTCCGGCGGCCTTAAACGTCGGCGGCTACAGTGACCGTGCGCTAGTTGCACATGGTCACTAGTTGCACACCCTAACAACTTAATATAGTCAATAATAATAAGCTGTACAGCCTCTATAAATTATAATAAAATTACGTAAAAGTAGATTTATACTATATATAAGCCTATAAAACTTTTAGCTTATTTAGATATTTTTTTAAAGAGCGTTATAATTTAATTCTATTAACTATATAGTAAAGTAGCTTATATAACTTATATAGCTTCTACTATAGCTATAGTAATACTACTATGCTTTTAATACTTTATAGCTAGTATATAAGTGTTATAATCTGCACCTAGGAGGAGACAGGGGTAAGCGTAATTACTTTAGAGGATTAAGCGGCATAGTTAAAGGATTACAGCATAGCAACTACGCTAAGGTTACATAACTGCTTAGTAGTAAGCAGGTACACGCTAGTTCTAGAGTAGGTGCTTAGTAGTAAGCAGGACTAGTTAGCTAATAACTAAGACTAATACTATACTACTTATTAATAAGCACTTACACGCTTAATACTAAGCGTAATACTTATTAGTATATAGCTTAGACACTAAACCTTTATAGCTTAGTATGTTTAACTTAACTTTATATAAGACTCTAGTATTTAATCTAAGAATTATACTTTATTCTTATATAACCTTTATAATATTATATTAATCTACTAATTATACTATTATACTAACCCTGTCTATTACAGCCTACTCTATCCCTAAGAACTAACTCTTAGGTAATCTAAAAATAACTTTTATACTTTAAATACCCTTAAGATAAGTAACGTTATAATAGACACCTCTACTAATTTTTAGACCTCTAGAGGAACTAACGTTTACGCTAACAGGCCTAATACTTTTTATAGTAACTACTATAAGCTTAAAGTATAGCTACTCTAAGTTAACTAATACTTCTACTTTAAAGGAGATAAAATTAAAGATAAAGATAAAGTTATTTAGGCCTCTACTTTCTTCTAAAGAGACGTAGAAAAATAAGCTACTCTATTTATCTAACGCTATATAGATACTACTATTATTAATAGAGGAAATATAAATTTTATAGAAGATTAGACTATATTTAAGGCTAAGATATAAGAAGTATTTTTACCTTTTAAGGAGTCTATAATCGCTAAGTAAGAAATTTAGAAACTATAATAAACCTAATCTACTACTAACTATATAACTAAATTCTAACAGTATAAGACACTAATTAAATAGGATAATAATACTTTAATGCGGATGTACTAATAAAGTCTTAAACTAACTGTACGTATAGAACTTATAAGAAGCAGATCTAGCTTTAAGACGCTTAATAAACTTATAAATAAAGCTATTTAAGTAGATAATAAACTTTATAAGTTAAAGCTAGAAGAACGCTTATACACTAGAAATCGCGCACTCTAGGATATAAATAATTAAGCACGTTAAAACTCTTAACGCTTATACTCTAACTAAGGACGTTAGCAAAGCTATATACTTTAGATCTTAGGCTAATATAAGACTTACAGACCTAAGCTTATATACTTTAATAATCTTAATAAGGGACCTAAAAAGCTAAAGTTTTTGCATAATAAAGGTAATAAAAAGAAGTTTACTTATTACGCTTATAGTAAAGAAGGCTATATAAAGCAGGACTGCTAAAGCTAAGGCAAGGTAATTAGACAGTTAAATATTATTCGCTAGGCAGTACCTAATAATAATACTAAGGAATAGAATATTATTACTTAACTATATATTAAGTTAAAAGTAGAAGATAATAAAATAGTTAATAGTTTTAAAAACCTTACTATTACTAAAGTAAAAGAACTATTTCTAGATAAAGATACCTCTAACCTAGAGTCCTTTAAGGACCTAGAGGTTGTAGAAATTAACTAAACTAAGTTTAGTAAGATAACTATATTTAAAGAAGAAAACTAACCTTCTATACTATATATTCTAAAAGAGTAAATAAAAACACTTTTGTCTTAGATTAACTAACTACTTTAATACCTTAATAAGCTACCTATTAAGTATACTTACAAAATACTAGATATTATAGCGGTAATATACTAGGACTTCTATAATCTATTATACTAAGTAGAATATAAGAAGGAAAACCTCCTTATAGATATTATAAAATTCCTACTAATACTAGACGAACTTAACTAGATTAACTGCGCTATTAAAGCATAGAATAAACCTACTGCTAGTAATAAGATAGAAGTTATTTAGTGTCTAGAGGACCTAGACTTTAAGCTAAATGTACTATACTAGTAACTTAGTAAACTAGAATATAAATACCCTAATACTAAGAACTAATTTTATAATAAATTTAAAAAATTTATAGAGTACTAAAGACTCCTTAAAGAACTTAAGATATAGGGTATTTATAATACTAAAGAACTATTTAGATAGGTATATAAAGCTAAGGCCTTATAGGAAGAACTTACGTACTACCTATCTAATAGTAAGAAATAAGAAATCTATAAGGAAATTAAAAGGCAGACTAATTCTTACGTAAGCGAACTAATAGAAAAAGAATATAAAACCTACTATTATTTTAGAAATAAAGATTTTAACGCTAAAACAGCCTATTTAACTATATAAATATAAAAGTAGGCTAAAAAGTAAGAACACGCTGCAGCTAGGTAATAACAAAATAACGTATAACAAAAACGCGAAGAAGAAACCTACTACTAGCTTAATTCTAGGAACCTGCTATATAGTAATATAAGCTAGATAGCGTGTATATATAACTCTTATACTATCTACTACTCTAATAAATATAGTTTAAGACACTTTCTACGCAAATACACTAGAATACTAGTATATAAGTTTTAATAGTTTAACTACCCTAAAGACTAATACGCTATACACCTATAAGATAAGAGATACTACCTATACTTTTATAGTTACAAAGACCTATAAGAGACCTTATATATATATATTACGTAGTAGAAGACTCTAGAGGACAGAACTAGTATATAGGAGTGTAACTAGCCCTTATAGCATACATGCTTTAATATCAAGTACGAACTATATATAGTTATAAAGAAGTTTTATAGTTACAGTATATAGTTTTTTTTAAATAGACGCTTAATATACTTAACCTTAGAAAGGAGATTAATAGTATAAACTCCTTAATACTCTTTACGCTTCTAGTAAAGCTTAATAGAAGACAGATATAGGTATTAGTAGATTTAGAATTATAAGCTAATTACCTTTCTACTTAAGTAGTACTCTTAGCTAGACTAAGACTACTAAGGAAAGAAGAAAGCTACCTACTATATATTACTAATAGTTAGCCTATACTAGGCAGAAACTAAATTATATATAAGGTTACTAGAGTAACGCTTAGTATCTAAGACTACTATAAGAAGATAGACCTAGACGTCTTTAGACTAGCTACCTACAATATTATATTAAGACTTCCTTAGTTATAAGAATATAACCTGCAGATTAACTAGACGTTAAAAGAGTTTTTATTTAAGTACTGCAGACTAGACGCACCTATAAGCTAGCCTACGCATCTAATAACTATAATAGTAGATAAGAGGAAGATTAATAATATTACTAAAAGAAAGTAACCCTTAAATAAGAACAGCTTTAAAAAACAAAGGTTTAACTTAATAGATACTAGTAAGGTACTCTTAGATTATAAAGTTAGAGTACTAAAGAAACGCGTAACTCTTAATATCTTAAAAGAGTATAAAGATTTTAAGTACCTCTTTATAGAAGTAGTAGATAATTAAGACCTACTAAAGTATTAACTTTAGGACTATAAGATACTCCTAAAAAAAAAGAAAACTCTACTCTTTAGGCTAATATATTAACTATTAGAGGTAGAACTTAAGATTCTAAAAGAGAAACTAGAGAAGAATCTAAAGAAAGAATATATTAGACTTTTA